AATGAGGGCTGAAAACCGATGCTGTAGGAGACTGACCTCATGGGAGCATCCATCCCACCGGCTGATCCTGGGTCAGGAGTGGTCAGTTTACAAGTTGCTGACTCCCACAGTAGCTGGGCTCCTCCATGCCCAAGCAGGGCACCAAACAGGGTGCTGCGAGAAGCAGGGGTTGCCCCTAGGTGCACGGGGGGTGACTTTGGTGCAGGACAGGTCAAGGACCAGCTTGGGTATCCGGAGAGCTGGTGCTGGTGCCAGTGCAGCCCTATGGCTGCAAACGCTTCGTTTCACCCTGCTGGCACTGCTCCCCTTGATATTTATTGGCATTTCTCAGGAGCAGGGGATATCAGTTGCCACACGTGCTAAATTCTCAGTGCAAAGCAGCTCGGCTGCTGCTGCTCCTATAGCGCTGAGCTGGGGTAATTCAGGGAAGCTCAGCCTCCTGTGGAGAGACATATAAGATGGCTCAAGGTTGGATGCTCTGGTGTTTAGTATCAAACAAGCGCATGCCGCAGCCTTGCTCTCAGCATGGGCTCGCCTTTCCCTTGTCTGCCCAGCCCCGGGAAGGCTCGTAAGCAGTGAGTTTCTTTGAGGACTCTGCCCTTCTGGCAAACTTGGTTGAAATTGGCCAGCGAGTTCAGAAATTTTATTAGGGACAGAAAGACAGACACACCCACGGCGCGATCACAAAAGAGTTGTTTCTCTAGGAAACCAGGCTGAAAAAAAAAAAAAAAAGTGGTTGTTTAAATAAGCAAATACGTTTCTTGGAGACAGCAGGGCAGGGAGGTGGTAGGGGAAACGCAGTGTGTTTCTGCACCTATCAGCCTAATCTCTTAAGCATTAGCGTTTCTCGTTTTAAATCTCTTTATCCCTGTTTATGCCCATTTTGTGGTTGGGTTCTCAGGACTTGCTCTGCCCCGTGCTGCAGCCTCGCCTCGCAAGCTCCCATTTTGCTGCAGGGCTCCATGGGGCACGTTCCCGAGAGCAGAACAATCTTGTCCCTGCAAACAATGAACGTGGCGAGGGAGCGGCTGGGCCCCGCGAAGGCGAGGCATGGACGTGAGCAACACGCAGCGGTAGCTCAAGCTTTCCTATAAAGCTCCCATTTGGGGATTTGCAAACCGCCCGTATCAGCACCAAAGCATCAGAGCTGCTAACCCCAGGGCAGTGAAAGCCCTTTTGGTCTGAGCTGTCAGCCAAAAATTCAAGAGCCTGCGAGTCATTCTAGTTTTGCTGAGAACTGGTGCAGCGGTCAGGTGTTCTTTGAGGTGCTCCTGTTTATTTACAAAGAGCCTGAAAAGTCCTGTTCCCCCGAAGGTGGCAGAGACAGAGCTTGGTGCCTTGTCCTTCCTGCCCAGGCTGACCCCGGGCATGGTGCTGTCTCAGCACCCACCCGTCCTCTCACCTTCCACCCCTGGGTGCCTGTGGGACTCTCCCTGTCTCCATTTCACTTTCCTCCTGGCCAGCTCAAGGCAGGAAATCTGGCTGATTTAAAAAAAAAAAAAAAAAAACATATTAAAAAAAAAAATAGCTGAAAAATGCGTTTCTTTAAAAAGAAGGGGGAAAAAAATTAAAGATCATTTTAATTAGGTTTGAAAAATCTACGGCCAAGCTGACAGGCCAGCTGACAGGGCTCCCTTTCACCGGATCACCCGGCTCGGGGCTTTTCATCTCGCGTGCAGAATATTTTGACATTCCTGCTTTCTTGGCTCCGTGTGTAGAGCCCAGTGGAACCTGCATGCCTAATTAAATGTAACAATTCCTGAAAACGAGGGTTGTTGTTTTTTTTTTTTTTTCCTCGGGATAATAATAGAGGTTTTATTTAAAAAAGAGCTAATCTATTTACTCTAGGCTGCCTGCTTCCTGACCTGGCCTCAGCACCTGAGGGGACGGGAACAGAGCGGATTAGGCAGGGACTTAGTCACTGGAAAAGCTGAGGGCGTTGGTGCGTGCGCGCATGTGTCCCGCGTGCGCCACTCGAAGAGCTGAGAGGCAGAAGGTTAGGAGGCCGTGATTTTCCCTGGCAGCTGACTTTTTTTCCTCATTTCTGCAGTTTGGGGCTGTTATGTGCAGCACGGGCCCTTCCAGTCCTCCCTCCTCTTCAGTCACCAGTCTGCGAGCACGGCGAGCCAGCAGCTTTCCAAACGTGGGGCCATGAGAGCCAACGGGTGATGACAGAGTCATTGTACCGGGAGCTTCGCTAAGCAGGGTGGGAAAGGAGAAGGAAATACGGGTCAGGGTTGCCAAAGTTTGGATGTGCCAAATGTGCTCCAGCAGTGTTCAGCATTTGGTGCCCAGAGCTTTTCTTCCGGAGCTTTTACTGCACCATTTCATTTTAGCCACGGGGTCAGTGGGCCCTCAAGCAAACCCCTTCAACCTTCAACCCCGTGGCTGAACTCCAGGACAAAGTTAGGTCACCGCTGCACCAAGAGGTGACAAGGCAGGGCACGAGCAATGCAAACCACTCTGGGGCTGTCCCTTTCCCCATTTCCTCCTCCCCATCTCAACCTGCTCCCCTCTGGCACCAGAAATGAAAGCCCTGGGGGCTGCCTGCCCCGGCTGGCCGTGGTGGGCTCGCCAACCGTGCCCAGCGCCTTTCCCAGCCGGCAGCCTGATGGCAGCAATGAATCAGCAGCCGGTGGACTTGTCAAAGGCATTCCTCCACTTTAATCCTATTGACAGGGACTACTGCCTGGAACAGGAACTGCGGGGTGAGCCATGTCAACAGCAGATTCTTATTACAGATAATATTGATGGGGCCTTTACTTGAATAATGAAGGGAAGAGCCCTCTGCTTTGACGTTTGTCTCCAAAACCTAGAATTACTAAGAGTTTAACCATCGGAAGGGAGCTTAAGATAGTTGCATCTTAAAGGATCTGCTTTCTTGTCGCATTCAAGGCTGGGGAAAGGAGTTTAGCCCATACGCTGGGAGCTCCGCGCTGACCTTTTCATTGCTCTTAATAAATGTTACAGTTAAATAAAGTCGGATGGATTTTTCTATCTACTGTAGTGTGTTATCCACTTTCTGGGAAAAAAAAAAAAAAGGTAGAAACCCCCAAATCCCTGTTTAATATCACTGTTACTCATTATCTTTGCTAGCTGCAGGGCGAAAGGCAAGTAGGAAGGGCAGGGGCAGGACAATCCCGGCTGTATTATCAGGGTAATTCTGGCCATCGCACATGATTAGGTGTCTGTCTCTGCACAGGTGAATCAGGGCTGTGTAAATCGGTTGTGATCTTATGGCCAAAGCTCAAACCAGAGTCAAGAGGTTATTTTGTCATTGGGGGTGACGTGTGTATTTGTTCTTTATACATACTATTCTTATTATTTTATTTTCTGTTGCTTAAAAAGAGAAAAAACCTCTGCCAGGTCTGTATCTCTTGGTTCCCTACAGGAGCGGAGCCGCCAGAGCTGCAGGGGAGAGGCTGCCTGGGAAGTTGAATGAGGGCAGAAGGCATCAGCTGTTCCAGGAAAGAACCTGTCCTTGTGCATTTCCTCAGTGTCTGGGCTTCGATAGCGTGATAGCAAGCACGTGGCGAGAGAAGGGAAGGAAGGCAGGGCGGAGTGGTGGAATCCCCACGCTTGGATTTTTAAATGCAACCAGGAGCCCAAAGGTGTCCCTCTGAAGCCTTGTTCTAGGGCCATCCCAAAATAGGGTTTGGACCTCTGGCTCCTACATGGACGGATGAGGAAGAGAGCAGGCAAATTTGGCTTTCAGCCACACTTATACCTCCCAGATCCCAGCGCTGGCCCAGGACTGAACCGGCAGGTGGTTTAAGTTAGAGCAGCCACGGGGCTGCTCTAACTTAAGCCAGCTGGAATCTCTTCTGGGGCCGGTTCTACCAGCCAAGGTTTGCTGGATTACAGCAGGGCCCCGAAAAGCTCCAGCCCACCCCTACATGGCCTACACAAGAGGACCAGGGAGCAGATGACATGAAAATGTCAGGGCAGATCCCAGCTTGTGCTTTTAGGACGACTTTAATTCCTTCACAGTGCTGCAGTAAATTAGTATCTGGTCCAAGGGAGCCTGTTCTCATGGTATTTTTAGTCTGATTTTGAAGACCCTAGGAGTTTTGGATTGCCCTTGAGTCTCTGAATTTTGGGTTTTCTGACTTGAACTGTTAAATATTTTCCATATATAAGCAACAGCCGCAATATTTCAGGTTGGATGACTTGCGTTTTAAATTTATTTATTTTTTGTTAAAGGCCAAAACAAGACAGAAGAAAAGTAAAATCTCCAACTGGTCCAAAGTTACTGTCCTCATCCGAGCATGCCTCCCTCTGACACAGGTTCCTGGTTCTTGAAAGTGCAAAGGGGAGACTCAGCAAGCGTGATCGAGCCCCATCCTTGGGGTCAGCGAAGGATCCCCCACCACATGGGAGGGAGGCGTGAAAAGGCACTCACGTTCTCGCTGTGTGCACCACATACCTCTGAGCATCTGTATCTACAGGCAGCATCCTGACCTCCCTAAATCTTCTGTTTTACTGAGAAATCCACATGGTGCACTCGTTTCCCTGCAAGGACAGACCCTCTGGCACCGTCTCGTAGCACAGCTTCCAAAACCCGCTGAACTGCAAGCCGCCTTCTCTCCCAGCTGAGATTTATGCCCCTCTGCTTCCTGATGGCCGAGGTGTGGTGCAGACACAGCCTTGCTCCTAACGCTGGGGACAAGCAGCCGGGCCAGGCTTGGCTTCAGGCAATGCTGTTGCACCAGGAGCCTTTCCCAGGACAAACAGCCCGAGTGGTGACTGCTGGGGACACCTGCAGCTCTGGGCACCCTGTGCCAAGCAGGAAGCAGAGCAGACATGGAGCCAGGCGGGGAGAGAGCATGGAAAGGAGGGTAAAAATGCCCGTGGATGCGTGGCGTGCTGCCAGCCAGCCTGACATTCGCTGCAGGGTGTGTGTGTGGTAGGGGGGTGTTTAGAGCAGGATGGTGCTGAGGTATATGGGATGTGTGCTGGTGCTCCAAAATCAATTAATTTGGTTTGTGCTTGCTTTGCAAGGTTTTCCAGACTGGTAGAGGCTTGAAGTGAGGAGGGGATGTGTGTGTCCCCTGGAGGTGCTGATTCAGCAGGTAGGTCTGTCCCAGAGCCCTGATCCTTTCTGTATCAACCAGGTGCCTATGAGATCCCTCACACCATAATGGGGGTCTCTGCAGCACACACATACCCCACCGTGGGCTCAAAAGTCTATTGGGTCTTTCAGGACAAGTAATGGATTAAAACCATGATTATTATTTTTTTTTCTCTCTCTCTCTTATATTTTTTTTTTTTTTAAGGAAATGAACTAAAATATTTGGTTCCCCAGTGCCTGCTTTTTGGGTTTAGGGGGTGCTTTGGTGTGCACTGGGGTTGTGTTTCTCAGCTTTTCTCTGGGACCTGGAAGCCTATGAACTGGTTGTTCCTTTTCTCCTCTTTTTAAAATGAAATCTGAGATTTTTGCATAATACATCGGAGCAAGAAGCTGGGGAGGGGGTGAAGAAAAACATCAAGTACTGTGGGACTGAAATTGCAAGAGTTGGCAACACTGATATTTTTTGTTTTTCTTTCCTTTTTCCAGAGAAAAAGAAAACACCCCCCATTTTGCTGAGCCCCAGCAGGGTGAACAGAGGGAAAAGGTGCTCCAGGGCAGGAAGAAACTGTGAAGAAATAGGTTTGCAAACTCCATTTATACTGGATTGTTTGAAAATTGTCCTGTGAGCTGCCTTCTGGGGACAGCTGTCCCGCTCTGAAGGAGGGAGAGCAGAGATGTGTGTGGGGAGAAGCTGCGTGTGGGGCTCTCAGGGCTGGGCCAGGACTCAGGTTGCAATCGCCTCTGGTTGCTCTCGGGCATGGGGAGGGCAGGGAGAGGCTGGGCATGTGGAAGAAAGACTCCATGAAACTCTTCTTCCCTGTAGGAGCTACATCTCCCTCTAAAAAAAAAAATAAAAATCTCAGTTGACCAGAACCAGCTCTGGCAGGCGGAGAGGTGGAAAAGGGCTGGTGACCAGCACTGCTACGTGTGGGTCCCCTCCCTGCTGCCAACTGAAGTCACAGCAGTGCTGCAGTGCCCCTGTGCTCAGGGAGGACATGCAAAAAGGTGATGTGCATGGGATGGTGGTACCCAACCCCAGCTCTGGTGCCTGTAGGACTCCCACGCTGCCAGCAGCTGCAGGAATCGAAAAATGGAGGCTCAGCAAAGTAGGGTGCTGCCCTTAACGCGGTGCATCCCGAGGGACCTTGTCCTTGGTGGAGGGAGGAGCGCTGGTGCGGGTCTCTGCTAACGCAACCACAGCCGGTATCTGGTCTGGGCTGCTCGGCAGCAGAAACGAACACATCTATCTCGCCTTGGCTGCACGTGGCATGCACAGGGGGACTGTTACTTATTAGCACTCGCAGTCATTGGCAAGAGCTGCTGGAACAGAGGTTGAGCTCCAACTGCTATTCCTGCCTGTCCTCCTTCACTTGTGCTTGTATCTTTCTCAAACTCATTCCTTTTGGGTCGAAATTTTCCATGCTTCATCCCAGCCCCGTGACACGTTTTTGCTGAAGGTGTGGACTGCGCTGGTTGGAGTTGCCTTTGTAGAGCTCCTTGGTAATCTCTGCCCCATGGTGAAAGTCCATCTTTCGTGTCCAAGGAGATGTCAAGTTGAAAGTCTTAAGAGGATGGATTCTGATTTATTTACTTGTTTGTTTGTTTTGAAAAGTGACTTAAAAGTTTACGTTTCAGTCAACTGGAACTTAAAAGGAAATCTTTTATTTAGATCTTCCCCAGTGGAAAGCTGCGCAGCTCTGGCAAAATTGAAGTTTTTCCATGGAACATTCAGATTTTGTGAAAACTGCACTTTCTATTGAAAAAACATATTTTGATCATTAGTTTTTAATCTTCTCTACTTTTTAAGAATGATTCAAAAACATAAAGGCAAACATGTCTACTTCCAGTGTCTAATATATCAACATTTTTTTAGCATGACTTCAATTCCATCTCCTTAGTGAGAAGGCTAGAAAAATTATTCAGCTTAAGGAAAAGCATTTTATCAGTTAGAAAGCTGTGGCAATTTCAAGTGGGTATCTTAGTGCATGTATTGGATTTCTAGCTTGCCTTTCTTCCTATCTGGGTCAAGGATGCCGGACTTAAAAACCCAGTGTTAACTTAGTTACGAGTGTCGCTGGTAGGAGGCTTTTGGTTTGTTGGTGGTTTGTTGGGTTTAGTTGTGTTGTTTTTTCTTTCTTTCTTTTTAAAGGACAGCTCAAATACAGAAAAATCTGTTTAGAACTGAAGCAGCAAAAATTATGTGTTGGCACTGAGAAACCTCCATTCATGATGTTTCTCTAACAGCAATTCCAGGATTGAATTTATCATTTACAGGAGTCTTGTGGTTTAATGCACATTTTTTCCTCTGGATTTTCAAACTTAAAGATTGTTTTCCTTTGACAGCCTTCTTTTTCTTAGAAAGTCAGGATAACCAAATAGTAAGCCTAACTAATTAAATCTTCAAAAGTTAGCAAATACCAGGCCAAGGATTTGTGGCATTACGAAGTTAATACAAGGTCATTGCACAAATGTAGAATTTTCTCCACTCCCTTCTCTACTCCATTGTGACAGGACAACTCCTTGAACGTCTGGAGATTGTCTCCACAAGAATATGAATGGAAACATTAATTTGTTACTTTCAGACATGCACATAAATGCATGAAATTGATGTAGTATATGACCTGAACACACATGAAGTAGTTTCTTGAATGTGCAGTGTGTTCCAAATGGCTAATTTACAGAATTTCCAGAATGCATCGTGGTGGATGACTTGATTTGAAACATTAAAATAGGTGGTGAGAAATTTGTGCAATCAAATCATTTATATATATTTCAAATTGCTCTCAGTTAAACAGGAAAAAATCTTTGTACTTAACACAGCAGATAAGAGCAACTGTGACACTTTATGTAAATGCAATGTATTTGATTTTGAAGTAGGGTTTAAGATTCTGAGGATGTGCTCAAGAGAGAAGGAAGATGTGCTCAGAGTTAAAAAATGAAGAGATGCTGTAGATCATCTTAAGACATTAAGTGACCTCACACAACTCCCTTATTGCTCATCACCTTCTGCTTGGAGCTTACTAGGAGATAGGAGTGTGTCTAATCAAAAGAAAACTGGCAAAAGGGAGGCACGGCAAGGGAACTTGGGCTTCTTTTCCATGACAAGAGCCATGCAAGGAGAAGGCATCCAAAGAGCTAGCTGTGGTTGAAGTAACTCTGGAGGAATACTACCTCTTTGCAGATCTTAAAGGAAAAATATAGGGTGGAGGTCACTGTAGTGTAGATGTTGGACATAATGGTTGTTGTGTTGATCACTGGATGGAGACTTGTTAGCCAGTTCAATGGACTGTTCTGCTTAGTTTTAGGACGTGTGACTTTAGGTCCTGTGCTGGGCTAAGTTCCTACAGCTCTACTGCAGATCAGTGGGCAGGAGCTAGAGGTGGACAGTTGTATGGCAGAAAAGGTAATGGGCATTTCCTGCCAGCACCTTTATCTGCAGAGTTCATCACTATAAAGAACTTAAAAAAAACAAACAAACAAAAAAAAAAAACTGATTTCCATGGCACTTTCTTCTCATTTCTTAACTGTTGCTCAGGCAAAGCTGTTATTAATTCAGGAGGAGTCTGCCTGAGCAAGAACTCTCCAGAGTCCAAAATATTTTGCAGAGAGTAAATATAAGAATTATTCACCTACCACAGAACAGCATCAGCCTCTGGGTGGAATGCAGGAGCAGTTTAACAGTGCACATAAACGTTTCCCCACAGGTTTGGACAAGAGTTGAAGGATTGTATGCCCAACTGAACCTACTACTGAAAGCAATGAGCTGGATGAGCCCTCTCCCTCGCCTTGCTATATAGGATGGGCGAGCAACACCTACCCGAGTACCACACGGCTTCCTCCAGGAGGCTGGGAGCTGTGCTGGAGCTCGCCCATCTGACCCAGTCCTCCACATGAGATCTGGCAAGATAATCGCTCCAAGCGTCTGGGTAAGTACTGCAAAATGCTTCAAATAAATGAATAGAAATCATCTGCTTCATAAATGCCAAGGGCTTTCAACATGTCGTTTCTTGGTAAACAAAGAATTTCAGCACGACAATATCTTAGGACGTTATTGGCCATATTTGTTCCCTCGTGCATATTGAAGAGAACGCGAACACAGTCGCACAGCTATCCTTTACGTCCTCCTCCAGCTCGGAGATTTTCTCCCCGCTGTGGAGGAGGTGAGGGTGAGGGGGGTGCTCAGTCTACCCCTGGACAGACCAGACCCATGTGCCCCCAGCCCTCAAAACTCTTATTTCTGTGATGGCGAAGGGCAGGTGGAAGTTCTGCTGTTGCTTGGTTTTGCATGAAGTGCCATATACTATGAGTAGAAAACAAAACAAAACAAGTCTCTTTTTTTTTTTTTGTGGACATTAGAATGCAATAAAAATGTGTGCTTCCCTCCCACCCCCCAGCTAAATTGATTACATCTGGTGGCATGAAAAAAAATAGCCAAAATGTCAGACTGAGTCACACAGCCCCCTTGGGTGGTTATATTTATTTCAGGGTTGGAGCACTCATCAAAACAATTTATCCTTGGCTCTCCCTCTCTGCCTTCCCATCTCTTTGCTTACAAACTCTGCTCTGTTCCCTAACACTTGTATTTAGCCCCCAGCCCACTCCTTCCCCGGACTTTTCTTTCTTTCTCTCTGTATCTTTTCCCTCTCCAGCCTGGCTCTGTCTCCCTCCTTCCCCTTTGCTAAATCAACCCCAACAAACCCCGTAGCTGTAATTCTCCGCTGGGAATAACAGCAGAGGAAGCTGGAGCACAGACAAAGCTTGATGTTTCTAAGGCTGTGTCACCTATTTAGTGTCTTGTTTCACATTGCTTGGGGTGAAGGGACATAGTAAAAATGTGTGAGTGAGCTCCCTGCTGTGGTTTCCATCGTTGCAGCCACCGGTGGGGCAGCCAGGGTGGGACTGCGATTGCTGTGGCTCCGTCTCCAGCCTCGCCTGCTCTCCCTTGGCTGCCCTGGCTGCTGCAATGCTGGAGGTGGGTCTGCCAGGTCTCTTTTGGTGGATTCGTTTCCAGCCTCAGCTCATCTGTGTTCTGTCAGGGAGCAGCACCAGAAGCAAATGTAACGTGAAGGGAGGCTATGCTGCAGCAGGTGGGGAGGACTTCATCTCCAAAACCACAGAACCTTTTTATACCCCTCTTCCCAACCCCATCCTTCTGTCCAAACTGCAAGGGAAAGAGCCACATCCTCCTGGCTCCCTGGGGACACCCTGTACATCTTGGTCCATAAATCCTGCTGTGATCTGCTGCCGGGTTGTGCCTGCTCTCATGTATTGTGCCAGCCACGGCTGCAGAAGTGTGGGTGTTCTAGGGTCTGTGTGGATGGGAATGGCTGCAGAAATGCATTCCTGCATTGGTGAAAGGTCCTGGGCTGGCAGGAATAGGGGCTGAAGGTCTTGCTCTTGCTTTAGGGCTGAAAGGTTGCCTTGTGCATTGCTCTTCCTCCCATAGAAAGAACACCTTGCTTTCCCTACTGCTCCTGAAGGAATCAAGGACAAATGATGGAGACAGAGTTGCTCACCACCATCTTGGCTGGAGAAGACACAGGAAACTCTTGGCACAACCACCTCTGAACCTACGCGCTCTGCCCTGTCTCTTATGCCTCCTGCTCCCAGCCTGGACATGGGCTTCTGTTATACAGTGTGCCACATTTATTTCCTGCATTAAATCAGAGCCCCCTGGGATCTGGTATTGTGCTTTTTTTTTTTTTTTTTTTTTTTTTTTTCCCCAGGTATTTTTGTCTGTGAACCACAGAAAGCTGAATAGCAGGAAATGAAGTGCAGATTGAGAACATGGTTGAGTGCACTTGCTAAAATAAAACATTGGGGGGGGGGAGGGAAAGATTCTTTTATAAATAGAAAATGAAGTGTGTTTATTTTTTATTGATGAAGCATTTAATTGCTCTGAGGGTTTGAGAGATGTTCATAGCAGCATCTTGGGCTGTGCATTGACTAGAAGTGCCAGTTGGTCTTTGGTACAAATACCCTGCTAGGTCAAGCTCACCTGCTTTGTGGCTGGGAAGGGATAAGGGGATGTCAGGACCTCTTGGTGATCTCTGACATGTTCCAAATCTGCCAGCAGGGTTAGAGAAATCCACTGGTTTCTTCTCACTCTGGACTACGTTGTAGGAAGACCCAAAGGCTTGCTGATCGGATGTGTTTGGCAGCAGCAAGAAAGTCTCTGGCCAGCGCACTTGAACTTTGGCCAGGCAGGCTTACCCAAGCAGTGATTTTGGACTGTGTTCAGGCTTTGGTATCTAAACGGAGTCCACCAGCAAAGCAGAGCATGCCAGAGAGCGTCTGCCAAGGTGGTACAACATATAAAGATACCTGAGCTAGTAATGAAATAGCCCTGCTCAGGAAGGTAGATAGCCCTCACATCACCAGTCTGTTCCTGGGGATTCTTCCCAAGCTAATCTGCTGAGCTCTGCATGGCATTATGTTGTGTCACAGAGCTGTGCCACGGAGCCCTAGAGCCTGCTCTCGGTTATGCCTCTATTTTTTATTTTATTTTTTTTCAATAGCCATGCAAGTAACACATGCGAGTGGAGGATGTGGAGATAAGACTGTGACCTTTTAGATTATTCTGTTGCTCTACTACAAATGCTGGATGGGTACAGCCTGGCAGCTGGGCTCTTTTGTGAGGTTAAATTAATCTCATTAATTCAGCTGTCTAAAAGTAGCAACCTTTAGTCATTGGTGACCTGGACCGCTTTCTTCTGGGGGTGGTGGTGGGGTAAATCTCCGCAGTCTATCTCTCATCTCTGGAGCCGTCCTGCTCTCCCTGTGACTCCTATTCACTGCCTGAAAGATTGCACTTTTATGTTGTTTGCTTAGATCCAGTGAAGGTTTATGAGGATTCAAAGGCAGAGGAGACTGGGGCGCTTGGAGCCTCCATGACGGGTCTGTGCACCTTGGCAGGAATCATGGGTGTAAGAGAAAGGTGAATTAAATGGGGCTGCTTTTGTTTAGGGTTTTGTTTGGTCTTAGCTATGCGAAGGGAAGCTTTTAGGCATGTGCTGAAGTTAGTGAGAGTCAACCATCTTTATCAAAGCTTGCCTGAATCAGATCCTAAATGTACAGAACTTGGATGCCCTGGCTGCATTTTGGAGGGGTAGTTATCGATCAGCCAAATGTCTGTGGAGCAAAACCATTATGAAGGAGCATCAGGCGAGTGTCCCTATCTTAACCAGCCTTCACCCCTTTCCAGCTGCACCCAGGTAGGGAAAGCCATTGTTCCCTTTGGCCATCAGAGCCTGCAGTGCCACTACCTCATACCCTCTGCTTCCAGGCCAGGTAGGAGCTGGGGACCTGATCAGAATGACACTTAAACCGCCTTCTCTGCGGGGTCTGTGGCACAAGTTGACATGTTTTGTTCAAGTTCTTTCACCTGCCATGGAGTAGTGCCAGTAGAGGTGATCCAAGCCTCTTTGTCTTATCTGTCTTATTTACACCGAGTCATTATTTCCAAAAGTCCTGTCTTGACCATGCCTTCACTGAGGAAAATGCCCAGTTACGCAGCCTCCAGATGGAACCCACCAGCCCAGCGGAGGAGACCTCATCTGTGAGTGCACTGCAAGTTCATTTGCCTTTCTTGGGGATAAAAACCTCTCGGCAGCTCGTGAGCTCCCACCAGAAGAGCTGAAACCCACTTCATGGGAGTGGGTAGTCCCTGTGCTGGCTGGCATGCCTGCAGAAAGTGGAAGGGGGGTTCAGGCAGAGGAGAAATTCTAGAGGGGAGAAAATTCCTAGGAATGTTACAGAAATCAACATCCCCCCCCCTCTGCTCCTTCCAAACCAACCCACCTAAAAAATGCCGTTTTGTGGGCTATTTTGGAAAGGAGTCCATGCCTGGGGAATTTTTGGCTGATGCTTATGGCTTTTAGAAGTTTCTGGGAGATCAGACGAATAGAAACAGGAACCAGATGGGACTTCTAGCTGCTGGAAAGAAAGGAAGAAAAAAGAAGTTTTAAAAAAAAAATCCATCGCTTGTTTAAAATGTGAAGAGCACTTGTTCACTTTTGGGGAGTTTCCCCTTCACCCTGGATTTCTTATTTTAGAGTAATTTACCCCAGTTCCATTGTATTCTCCTAGGACATTTATCTCTTTTGTTGTTGTTGCTAGGAATTTTTCTTTCTTTTGCAATAAAAGCCAGTTTATTCTTAGGAGAATTTAAGCCTTTGCCTTACTAGATAAAAAGAAAGTCAGCGGTTGGTTTTGTTCTTGCAGCAGCCTCAACATCCCTTGGCCATTTACTCACTGAGTTTATCTCTGTGTGGCTGCAAAGAAAAATTAAATAAGACAGTGGTAGTGAAGAGAAGAGCAAAGTCAGAGATGGCTCTGAGCTAGCAAAACTGAGCATGCGTACGTCCTATTTTAGGTAAATGACCATAAAAGGGAGAGTTGCACCATACTGGAATGTGAGAAAGACCCAAACGTGGAGCCCGGATGCCTGGTGCCTGCAGTGACCCAACTTGTCAAGCTTGGTGTTGGATTTGTGGTGTACTGACTGTTGGGTTTTTGGGGTTACACATCCAAAAAAACTGCCTGGTCCAGTCCCAGGCTCCATTTTATCAGGCCTTGGCTCTGGAGCTGGTTCATTTCTGGAAAACATCCCAGAGGCTGAATAGGGGCCAAGGAGCATTTTCCAGCTCCTGGGTCCAAGCTGGACTCCGTGCTGGGAGTCGCAGTCCAGCCGTGATCTGATGCTGTGCTGGGACCGGGCTCGGTTGTGCATCGTCCTTGCAGCTTTTCCTTCCCAGACTGATGGGCCATGGGGGATCAGTGCTGCGGGGTGTGTCGTGTAGTGCCCCTGCTCTGCTGGGGAGAGCCACAAGATCTTATTCCTGGCTGGTAGGAAGGAAGAAAAGTTGATAGCAGCTCATAGACGAGGGTGATATCTGTTTTATTACTGTGCTTGCGAGCTTTGCCGCTGATCTACTTTTAAGTGGTCTTTTAGTGGTTAATTAGTTTTGTTCTTTTTTTTTTTTTTTTTCTTCATTATTTTCCAGGTACTTACTGCTTCCTGGAGGGGAAAAAAAAAAAAAAAAAAAAAAAAGCGCTGTTCCCAGGTTCCTGCCTTGTTTCAGTCTTCCTCTCTTAACATCATTTCATACTATTTCTCGTGCTCTCTAATCTGCATCCATTCCCAAGACAGGGTCATCAGCACGAGGCAATGACCCCTGATAAACCTTCACCCGTGGTTTGTATGTCAGTATGAGAGGAAATCCGTCCCTGGGACTTAATAAATGTGTAAACCGTATTTCTAGGGATCTGATTGGAGGCGCCACAAACAATATTACGACTATACAGTGTGCTATGATACTCATTAGTGGTGATGCACAAAGTCAACAGTAGATATTTTAAGACACAATAGTTGATCTTTTGTTCACATTTTCAAATGTGCGTGCATCTGAACACATGGCTTTGGTTCCAAGGTTTGTCACAGATGGACCTAACTAAGCCAGCTGCTTGAACCCTCTGTTATGGTGACCAATTGATTAGATTAGTTTAAATGAAAAAAATGCCCCCAAATGTAAGGGTTTGGGTTTGTATGTCCAATTTGAGTTCTGATTTTTGTGGCTTTCTTTTTTCTTTTGGCTCTGGCTGGTCCGGCAGGATGTCCCATATTAGAATGCTGCTCAGTTGTTGTTGTTCTTTGTGGTTCCAGTGAGCTGTTTTTTTAGAAATGTCTGGAAGGAAAGAGACAGAGGGGACTTGGTTCACGGAGTTTGTACAAAAGCTTTTATTTTCTCTTTTTTTTACCCTCCTTTTTACTTCTCATGGATCTGATGTGCAAGTGCTCTCAGGAGTGACATGCTGAGATTTTTAAAGCAAAGTGTTTATCACATGACTCAGGTGACTGCTGTTGCAGTTGAAGCAGTATCATCCTAGGAATTTTGTTTGAATTTAGCTGCCAGCTCAAACAAAAGTCATCTGAGTAGGCAAGCTTTTACTGGTTTCACTTTGGCTTCCCACATCGGTTTAATTTGGCCCATGCTTGCTCGAAATGTCTCCAGCTGTCTAGAAACTTGTTCCTAGCTTGCTGGAACACTCACAACCCTTTTGGCCAGTGTGACCTTAGTTGTAAAGGCTTGATGTTGTTTATTTCAGATCGTTTTTACTAGCTCTATTATATATAAGGCAGCTCACATAATTGAACGAGACAGATGGGTTGGTTGCTGTCCTTGAGTTCGCAGGTTATAAGTTACTGCTGTCCGCAACGCTCAGCCATGAGATCTGCCAGAGAACACCACCTCATTTTGTTCCATGGGAGTTTTTGCTAGTATCTTCTTTTATACTATCACTCTTGTTGTTCCTCTGTTGGAAACCTTCCATGCGCTTCACACTGAGGACCAAAGTGTCAGAAGATTAAAGGACTGTCTTTCTGCCCAGTTAATATGAACTGGATGCCGAATGAATTGGATGCCGAACTGTGCGCTACTCAGAAAACGAAGCACCTTCTAAAGTAGTGAGTGGCTGGAAGGGGAGGCAGTGAAAATCCATCAGATTTGCATGACTAATTAGCTTATCCACTAGTTATTATCCTTGTGTTTACTTGTAATGAGAATCTTCAAAGATTATTCTATATTGGACATGTAGCTATTTTTTATTTTTTTTCTTACATAATTCTTACCATACCTAGATATGCTGCAATGGTTGCTCTACCTCGACATAATTAATTCTTTCTTAGATCAGGTGTAAGCCCGTCCTCTGGGGGGTGTTGATCCTGCATCCATCAGTAGGGGGGTGTTGATCCTGCATCCATCAGTAGGGCACTATGGATGAGTTTTGCAGAGCTCAGGATCTGCTTAAGACCTTTCCTCTTTCCCCTGAAATTGGGTCTGATTTTCTGAACTTCCTTGCAACCAGAGCTCAGCCTTGTTTCATGAGATGCTAGTGACTCTGGAAGTCACATCCCAGACTTCAGTAGAGTACCTCAAGTTTTCCAGCTCCTTGGTTCTTACATAAGTGCTTCTTTTGCAGAAGTCATTAATGTATCATAGGGAGACATTTTCTCTTCATGCCTTTTTGAATTATCTCACTATACTGTGTGACTTCATAAGAGAAGTGTGACCTCTGTGGTTGTTATTTTTCCAGTCTTTCTTACTCATAAAGGTTGAGAGGGTATGTGTTGTCTTCTTTAAAAAAAATATATAAAGGTCACCTTTAAATAGCTTGCAAAGTTTCTGCATATCCTACAACTAATTACACTTAATTACCGTTGGAGCAGGGATTAATTTTTGTATGCCCAAAGCAGGGTACAGGAAATATGTTACCTTGTTTTTTTTGAAGCATTGTGACTGAAAGGCAAAATTTTGAGGTTTTTTTTTTGGCTTTGTTTTTGTTTTGAAGTGTCTGCTGTGTCCTTCTCTGAAAAGGGTGAGTAGAACTGAAAAGGGGGATTGCTGTAATAAAACTGACTTTTGACAGATCTTTCCGAAGGACTGAATTTGGCACCGTTCTTTTCCTGTGCAAGCAGGTCGGTTTCATTTCCTGTTTTCTGGCATTCACAAACTTCCACTGGATACACAAAACTTTACATTTACCACAAAAAGTCACCAAACTTAAATAAATAAATGTCTTTTGAGCCCTGATGAGGCCTCTATCTTTATAAGGAACAAATAAAATCTGTGTTTGTGACCTAACTTCTCAGCTTCCTTTTAAGAAGCCTTATGTCTGAGCCTGATGTAATTGCAGAAGCTGGTTTTGCCAGCTCAGTGATAATTTTCTTTTGTATGAGAATTGTCAAAATTGGAAACTGAACCCACAGGGGCATGCTAGGTGTGCTTTGCCCCAAATCAAAGTTCCTGATGTGTTTGGGGCTTTTATCTTCACCTGCTCCTCCTTCGGACTGAACCTGTTGCTCTCTCCAAGCATTCGTCCATCATTTCTGTAAATTTCTTATAGGGCTTCTAGGAAATATTATGTCTGTTGCCTGGAGCCTGTCCAAAGCATCTGCCTTCTGCTGCCTGGACCATGGAAAGAGGGACGTTATATCCTTTGAATTGCCTAAATTTCTGCAACCCTCTCCATGCCTTGTGTCTCACAGGTTCCCGAGCTGCCGTTTCGTGACGAGGACATTCACCAGCGGGAACACCGCGGGGTGCGACCCCCACGGGAATAGAAAATTGCTGAAGCTGGCAGCGGGTCCAGCCCCGGGTAAGCCAGGACAGCCCTGATTCAGCAGAGCCCACCCGTGCTCACCTCCAAGCACACCAAGAGCCCCGCCACCCTCGCTGGGACGAGCCGCGTCCCCACGGCGTGCGCTAAGTGCTTTGCTGAACGGGGTCCAAGGTCCGGCCTGGAGCCACCCTGCTCCCGCCGACTCCCTCTTTGGCGCCGCACCGTGGAGTTGGCCCTCGTCTTGTGCTGGAGGACGTTACGAAATCCTGGCCCTGACAGAGAGCAGATGCATTATTGGGAAGCCCTCGGGTCATGAGAGGGCTAATAGTCACATTCCTGGCTGGGATGGCGAAAGATTTACGCTGGGCGCTCGCTCGCCTCGCCCTGCACCAGGCCGGCTCCCTACTTCACCAGCCCCCTCGGCTTTAATTGTTGTGTTAATGGCCCTTTTATTTGAAGCAGATCCCCTGGCTTACAGAGGAGAATGTCATTATGTCGTATTTTAGATGTATTTACATTCTCCTTGCCACAGGGATAACGTTCTAATTATTTTCTATAGCTGACAGCACCAGCGTCTGTGGTATTAGGGACCCCTTAGACCTGATTACATGGTCTGTTTTTCTTCAAATCACCCACAAATGACAGTGTGGAGCAGGTTTATTATCAATTGACGTACCTTTGCTTAACGCAACTCGCTCCTGAAACAAATGTCCTGAAAAGATAATACACGTTTAGAGCTTGTCTCTTTGCTTGCGTGGAGGCAGATGGGCTTAGGAGGTCAAGCCAAGGGTTGACCTCTCCTGACTCCTCAGACCCCGCTGCACACCCCTGACACGGGTGCACGGAGGCAGCACGATGCTGGGCCACGTTTCCCATGCTAACAGTATCCAAAGGCCATCGGAAAGGACTGCTGTAAATTATATGGCTACTGTGTCAAACCAAGAGCACGGGAAGGGAAAGGAAGAAGTGGACTCTGGGTTGGGTTTGCAGTGAGGTGCAGAGACTGGTCTAGATGGTGGGGTTGTGCCTGTGTGAGAAATTGCCTTCTTTTTTTCTTTTTTTTTTTTTTTTTTTTTTTTTTTTTAGAGGAGAAGAGGAATGGAGAGCTGAAAGGAGCCAGGGCTTCTCACTGGAGAGAGCTGTGCAACGTGCAGTGGCCTTGATGGAAAGGGTGGTGAGAGGAGACGTCTGGCAGCTGGGTGTGCGGGACTGTGGACAGAGGCTGGGAACCGAATGGAGAAAAGAGTTGCAATAGAAGACAAGGCAGGAGTAGCCTGACAGCTTCATGAGAGGAGGTGGGTCAGGGATTGTCACCGGGCTGGGACAAACACTGGAGACGGGTGGAAAGGATGGCTGCAGGGCAGGGGCAATGCCCAGGATTTGGCCATGGAGGCGTGGGGGCATGCAGAAGTAGGGACAGCAATCAAGATAAGGAGAGTGAGAGACACAGTTATTAGAACAGAATGATTTGATTTATCCCAAGTCATTTATTCACCAAATTTTCCCCCTGAGATCTTAAACAGACTGAAGTGGTTTCAAATGTTGTCATTATTTAGAACAATTCAACAAAATGTTTGTTGCTTTGAAAAAAAGGGAGGGGTGAGAAATGGAGAAAAGAAAGAAAGAAAGGAAAAATAAAAGCCTGGATGGTCTGGTTTGCCACATTTGAATTTTATTGCCGAATTGGGATGGGTCAAGAAAATCACTCTTTCTGTTCTCTGAGCAGGCGAGTTTCACTTACAAAGCTGCTTCTGATGTGAATGCTTACCCAAGCTCAGATGCAGTCTCCATGTGTATTCAAACACGAAATGACAAAAAGCAAGTATTTGTCCTAGCGAAACCCTGTCGAGGAAATGTTTGTGCACCAGGACATCTCAACACGGAGACAATTTCATTACAAAATTCAGGCGCGTCTTTGTGGAGACTTTTCTCCTTGCAGCACTAGAGATTATTTTATACTTGGAGCTGCTGGGCATGCAGGGCATTTTTAAAAGCAAATAGAAAGGCAAATATGCTGCCCCAAGGGAGTTACAATTTAAGTCAGACTAAAGCAGAATGAAAATACTGGCTGCATGGTATTAAAAAACAGAAGGTGGGCACTTTTAGTTGGAAATCTAAGGCTTCCATTAAGTTATTTAGTTTTTCTGTCTACATATATGGCTTCTGTATGTTTTTAGCTTCAGCTCAAAAGAAATGGGCCTCGCTTCTTCCCCCAGTAACTTTGGAGCCAAACTGCAAAGTTCAATGAAAAGTGACAGGAGGGTGGACGTTTCAAAGGTACCACAATCCTGTTACATTTGGTGAAAATAAAAAGCCAGGTGGAGGAGAGACAACCAAATAATTATTTCAACTGAAGGAAAAGCTTCTCCATGTGTAGAAGCAGTATTACTGATCTTCCAAAAAATCTGAGAGAAAGAGAGGGATAGATATTTTCTTGCAGACATTGTGGCTGCAGCCAACTGGAGAAATTTCCATCACAGCATGTGCATAACAGTTGTACCCTTTAAGATGCAGGATAATTCAGCCATGGGAACACAAAGTCCAGGAAAACAGGACACTTACTTCCGCTTCTTCAAGTGTCTTGTTTTTAATTTACTTACATGGATTTTGTGGATGGCAGTTTGGGGAGACTTCTTTTGGCTCAAAGAACGTGAATGAGCACGGCATCCCCCCCTTCTGCTGGAGAGCATTTTGGGGGTGGAGGTGCCAATGGGTCATCATCCAGTTGGCTATGGTGTGAACAGGAGAATGAGAGAGGATGAGTTACAATTTTCCTACCACTGTTCTTGTGTTGGACTGAGTAATAGAACTGAATATCTGCTGCCCTGGCTTGATTTGATTAATCTGTTGGTCTTGATATGGGACAAGGACTGACAAAGTGGGACTGGGTTTGTACCGATGTCTGTTTGAGGAGTTTCACTTGAAAATATTCAAGTACGTGTGTCCTGTATGGGTTTGTTGCCATGTGAATGCTTGAGTCATAATGCATACTAGTGGGAGCAAAAGTTTAATTAGCTCTGCTGTTTCCATACTTTTCTAAATTACATTTCAAACCATATATTTAGTTGTGAAATCAGTCCTCAATGCTATATTTGACAGTTAACAGAGTTTGGGTGGTTTTTCTTAAATTTGTTTCATGGGAGCCCCTGATCACTTGGCTTAATTTTCAGAACGCCGCACAAAAGAATAAATTGCAAGTTTTCATTGCAAGTACTCTGTGAATTATTAAAGGAAAATATTATGAATAACTTAGAAGAGGAAATGCGTGCAGGAATTTTGTGTCATGCTGGCTAATTGTCCAGTAACAGAAGGGAAAAGAAAGGCTAAATCCATTAGTTCAGATTATTTGTTAAAAGTTGTTTGCTGATAACTTTTGGGTAGTTGTGCTTGGCAAACCCAATGTTAATGTGAAGAACATTCCAGAGATTTAGGGCTTTGGTTTATTTTTTTAAATAAAAGTGATTGGATCACAGAACTAATTGACAGAAAAACAACATCGTATGCTTCTGTAGAGTTTTTCTCTAAGAGTGAGTCACAAGCTATACTGATACAATGCTCTTCCAAAGTGGTCAATATGTAGCTCAACAGAAAGATAAAAGAAGGGCTGCCGTTTTGCCAGGAGCACTGAAAGACTCTGTACACGCACACCAGGCATGCTGGAGCAAAACTCTAGAAAAGTTTAGGGTCTATAAATCACTTCTGATAGAGCCCAAGAGTGAGAGCAGCAGCAGGAGCCATGGCATGGACAGAGTCAGAACGCTACGCCTCCTCTGCATAACGAATCCTCTTCTGTGCTGTAGGCACCACCGTCGTTATCTCAGCTCCAGTGGGGTCTTGCTGGTGGAGATTCACAAGTCACACTTCTGCATGGAGCTCACTTTATCTTCATCAGGAGGTTGGAGGGCTGAGTCAGCCCTGCTGGGGTTTGCACCAGTGGTTCCAGGATGTCTGGGTATTTCAAACCTAAGGCTTAGACCTCTAATCATCCTCTTATCTAAACTGCCTAACATCTGAGTCTGCAAAATTGGGTTGGAAATCTCACACAAACATGCTTTCCCCAGCGGCATTTCTGCGTTTATTTGCCAGTGGAGCCCGGGACTACAGATGGGCACAGAAGATTCAGCTTGGAAGCCAAAGGTTTAATCAAAGTGTTGCGTGGAAGGTCCAGTCCTTGATTGATTGATTGGCTTGCTTGCTGACAGCTGGAGAGGTTCAACCTTTGGGGCAGAAACCCAGAGGTAACGCTTTGCGAGGCAAGTGTTGACCCTCTTGGGCCATAAGATTAGAGGAACGCAGCTCTTTTAAATTAATGTTTACGTGCACTGGAGATGGAAGGAAGGGGGTGGTTGCTGTCTTGTACCTTACAAAGCAATAGTCTAATCCCTGACACCCCACTGCTTGATTCATGCAGAAATTATTTAAATTACCTAAGGTGTTGTGTATTTTTTTCAACAGAAAAATCAAAAGACAAATGGTGTGAGGTCCTACATCAGCCCAGCATCTCTCTGAATCCTTCCCCAAGTAACTTTTTCAATGGCACTTGGCCACAAAGTCTAGAGAGCTCGGAGATACGAAATTCTTACAGGTTTTATGAGAGTAGATGGTTGAACGGAGATGACAGACTGAATTAGCACCTCTATTACAAAAAGTTTGTAGTGTTAATTCATTCCTTACCAAACAGCAGAGGAGGATCCTCAGCGGAGGCTGGGTCAAGGGGAGGCAAAGGGCTTTCTGATCTCCCCCAGCTGTGGAAAAACTCCAGTCAAAACTCTCACTTTATCAACCATCTCATTGTGCAGTGGCACCTTGAAAAACAAACAAACTGGCTTTTTGTTCCCCATCTCTCAGAGCTGCTTGCTTATGTGACATCTTCATTGATAACTTATGTCCATATGGAAGCTCTTCTTTATCTCCTCTTTAGGCCCGTTACTGAAGGAAAGGAGTGTCCCCTGGCTTGCTGCCACGTTGGATGAGGTGATACAACAGAGAGGAAACTTTCCAGTTTTGTCCTCTAGTCAAGAAAGAGGGCTGGTGTAAATAATTCCTCACGAGTGAGTGCTTTGATATGTTTGGCTTCTCTCGGAGTATCTAGGAGTAGATGCATGATAAATTTTTCATTTTAACTGATGTAGCAAATCTCTGGAGAAACCGACTGCTGTTTGCTGCACATCTATAGCAGTTAAGCCAGATTCCTCTGTTCTGATTTGTCAGATAGAGTGACTGATGATGTTTGTAAATGTAAATTTTAAGTTTCCTCAAATTCTAGTGTGTAAAGCTTCAAAACAGTCATTTTCTATAAACATTGTTGCTTGAAAAAGTCCTGCCACTTGAATATCTGGTGAAGATGAATGCACATTGCATGCGGAGTTGGCAACGAAGCACCCATCTATAAACATACAGTTACTATTCATGGAGATTTCTTTTATCCTCTTTCCAGTTGTACAAACACACCACCACCACCACCCCCGGCAATATTGCATTGTAAATTACCTTCCTTTTAAAAGCCCTCTCCCCTTAGTGCTTTTCATTCAGGAGATGGGAGACAGCCTTGGGCTTGTTGTCTTCAGATCAAATACAAGCTGCAGACTCCGGGTATTCACCTGAATTATATGAACCTCTGTGCTGTAGCTATTTACTTGTTGTGATACATTTCCTTTTCTTGATTAACTAAGCTCTGAAAGGACACATCTGCTTCAGCATTGCCCCCTCAAGGCAGTCCATCACTGCTCTGTAGCATCTTTTTCTCCCACCTTTTCCTCACCTTACCCTCTGCAGTCTGTTATATTTTTTTGTCTTGTGTTCATGATGTGTTAGACTGTGGAGTCCTGGGGCAGGGAGAGTGTGGTGGTGGCTGTGTGTGACAGGCTTCTATTGTGCAATGGATATGAGAAATATTCAGAAATATTTAGGGAGATGCAAGTGCTGCAGTCCATTCTGGGGGGGCTGTAGCACCAGTGGCTGGAAGGGTGGTTGTTTATAATTAGCTACGTAGTGCCTATGTATAGCCTGCTGTAATGCTCCAAGGTCTGAGTACTCTCAGTTTTTTAATTTCACCGTTGTTCAGCATCCTGGGCACTAGGAGGTCTGGTCCCTGATAACATGCTGATGTGCCAGGACCCTTTAGCTACTTAAATATATGTACTGAGTGCTACTTTTAATAGAAACTGAACAGCACCCTGATTGCAGTTAAAACAAATGCAAAGTAGTTTATTAGAATGTACTGTTGGAGTCGCAGCCTCTGCAGGACATTTCCCTCCGTTATACCATCCATGCACCAGAGGTGTTTACTGCACGGCTTACTACGGGGCATCCAAACCCCCCTCCATAAATAGCTGTTGATTTGCACCTAGGATCCGCGTGAGGGGGGAAAGGAGAGCTGGAGCCTTAGGCTGTCTCTTTGATCATGGGGCCCCCAGGAAGGGCACCGTCTCCCCTCCACACTGGGCTGAACCCAGCACCCCTGCCACGGCCCATCCCTGGGGTCCTCTCCTCTCCACGGCGCAAGCGGTGAGGGGCTCGCCCGGCGGTGGTGGCAGCTGCCGCTGTGTTCTGCTCTCCGGCCCCTCTCGCCCTTTGAAGATTCCCCATTGTTTGGGCTATTAACATACTTTCGGGGTGGATGTTTATCTTTTTTGAAACTTTTACGGCAGGCGCATTGTTAAAGAAAACCCCGAGAAGCTCTTTGCAAGCGAGCGCCACCGGCGCCCTTTGGTGAGCGTAATGCAGCTCCGAGCAGCTCTTCCCTTTATTTGATCAGCTTCTAATACCTAACAGTTCTGTAAGTAAACATTTATAGATCAAATCAAAAGCTCGCAAAAGGAAGCACTCTCGATAGATTAGAAGCTAAACTGATCTAAATTAGAAGAGATGCAGAGATAACCTTGCCTGGCTAAAAAGCATATACTATCGGTTGCACGCAGATAATTAAATGAATGAGCCCCTTTCTATTGAACAACTGATGTGCAATTGATAAACTTAATTAATAATTAACTTTTTAATTAAATATCAATTTAAAACAAGTGTGGTAATATGCCACTTGCATTTAATTTTGCTGCCTTTTCTTCATTAAAGAAGCATCACTGGAGTTACAGGTATCTGTTTGAGATGCCTCTGTGCACTGCACAGGGAATAAATGGGTCCACTGGGCACTTGCCAGTGAAGGGATGGTAATAAACAACAGCAACCAGAGACAAGGCCAGCATGCAGCTTCTGAGAGGCAGAAGGAGCTGCAGATAAAAGGCATGTCTCCTACCATGGCTTTCTTAGCAGCAGAAGGCCTTCCTGGGTTTCTGAATTTGCGTAAAAGAGGCTGCGATGGATATGGAAGAGCTGAGCCCTTGTAGCAGCTCGTTGGGAGGAAGATCCCTCCATGGCTTTATGAATGAAGTGGCTGGATGAAGCCAAGACTGAACATCCAGTTCCATCAGTTATTGCCTTGTTTCAGCAAAACAATCCCTAATAAGCAAGGGAAAGCTGCGATCTTTTTGCATGAGTCTTCTCACGTGATGCCTTAGTGTAATTCCTATTAGTGCTAATGGGGTAATTGGCTCCCCTCAATGTGAACTCCCTATAATGCATCCACGTAACTTGATTTGAGAGTGTAAATCCCATTAGCCTGAACGGCGATCTTTTCTGCCTCTAATTTACCCATTTGATCCTGCGAGCACTAACAGCCGATCTCGCCTCCCTTTGAAAGCGATAAATAGTCATCCGACTTCCGCTAAATGCTGTTTGCAAACGTGCAGGGCAGTATCACACCTCCGGCGTGGTGCCCCTCTCCGTGCCCCCCCTTGCAAACATCTGTGCTCAAGGGACGCCGCTGCGGGGCCGCCGGCGAGCGCCTGCTTTTCGTCTGGCTCCCCGGGCAGCCCCGGCTCTCAGCCACCTTCGGGATGGTTCCTTCCACCTTCCTAGCAAGCGTTTGCAAGGAGCAAGGCAATATGCAGACAGCAGGAAATTGGGTTTGCAAACTGGGGGGGAAAAAAAGGTGAAAGGCTACAAGAAGCATTTCCACCACCCCTGTGCCCGCTAGCAACAGGGAGAAATATTTGAGCACCTCGCTGAGGATGTAAGGAAATCTTTCCGCTGCAGTGGAGGATCTGGGTGAAGATTAAGGGTAGCTATTTTTTCAGTTCACGTCTTGATTTGTTTCCAACTGAAATAAGTAGGGAAGAGGATAAGCCAATGGGCTTTACACTGTCTGTCTGCAGTGTGGGGCTTGAAGCCAATTGGAAATGACTCCTCAGAAGGTACCATCTTGGACACCAGACACCTATCCGGTCGGAATACACCGCCGATGAGAGGATGATTTCTTTTCCTGCTCTGCCTCATAAGAGGATATTCTCGCTTCTCCACATGTGAAGGGAAGATGGGTCCCTCCCGTGGGGAATGTTACTGCTGGCCACCACTTCCTTTCTGAAAGCCCCATTTGAAAAGGAGGAAATAGTTGGTGGAGGAAGTTCCTGAAAAGGAATCTTTCAAATCCTTATTTTCGTCAGGTTTTTTTCAGGGGACACCCAATATGATAGAAATAATTGGTGTGGCTGCCTCAAGTGATGGAAAAATTGCAGAAAACTGCAAAGGGTGTGACAGCAAGAAAACCGGCTTATTCTCCATTTATTGTACAATATTTATCATCAACCCATTTTGTATATTTTGCTTTCTTTTGTGTAATCTTATCATCACTGGGGTTGAAAACGATGTGATTTTTGCTCCTTTGAGTAGTTGCCAAAAAAGCACTTACGTCGGAGTATTAGTGTATCATTTGGCTAGCACATCACATAATGGTTTTTTTACAGCAAGTATTTAACCGTGTTTTCATCCTGTGGGAAAGAATGATGGGTCTGTTTTGTAAAAATAAGACCTTGTGGCAATGTGGACATGCAAGAGATAGAAACATAATGCAACAAATTAGTTTCAACACACAGAAATGAAGTAGTCCAGGCTCCATATACATTCAGCAGTGCTGGTTTCTCTCTCTCTCTCTCTTTTGTCTCTCCTTTTGTCTCTTGTTTTGAAATATAATGTTGGATTTTATGGGAAAACTTTGCAAGCAGAGCCTATAAGAATTCAACAAACCACCTACTTGGTTTGGGCATGCAAGATGATGTTGTACGCATACGTATGTTTCTGTATATGTATGCACACATATAGTTAAAATACTATTTGCTGGTATGTAAGAGAAGGAATAGTTATGGGTGCTATGCAGATACGATCAAATTCATCCATTTTGTACAACTCGGTGCAAGCTCATGGTGTTATATCAGGAACCAAATTAGCTTTATTGTAGGCTAAGAAGATGCTTCAGTTTTTAGCAACAGACACGGTATTGTGAAGTGGGAGAAATCTGATCGTCATAATGTCATCACAGAAAATGAAGACCTAGAGCAAAAAATAATTTGTCTTTAGGCACTTCAGAAATAATCAAACAGTTCATCATTACAGTTTCAAGTGATCCCACCAAATCTCTTCCAAATAGCAGCTAAGTGAATCTCTATTATAACTTGAAACCCGCCATTAACTTGAAAACCATTCATGCTGTGATCTACATCTTCCCAATCTGTGTTTTATAACCTGTGCAAAATAATGGTCATGCCCGCCATTGTCAGAAGGGCGGGGGGGGAAGGGAAGTTGCTTTTATAAAGTTCTCTCATTTCTAAGCTTTATTCTATTTAATAAAATGTCCCAGTGAGTTGTGACTAAGATTTCATTTTCTTTGTATGTAAAAATTCATCAAACGCTCTCTCAGCTTTTACCAAGCAACTCTATAATACATTTGATGTCCATCTTCCTTCTTCCTACCAGCCACTTACCCTTTTGTGCAGTTGCATGCGCATTTGTATTTTGTCATGTCTGAATTTAGACCCTGGGTCTGGAAATGCCAAGTACGTGCCTAACTTTACTGAGTGAGCAGGAGTGGAGTTGAGCATATGGCTACATGATTTCTATGTTAAAAAAAAAAAAAATGCCATTCAGCAAATTTATTAGGGCTTTATAATGAGTTATCATCAGTAGTTGCAGTAAAATACAACTCAAAAAAAAAAAAAAAGTCTATACCAGAGACTTTGTGATGGAGCGGGCTTTTTGTGTGTCCTTTGCTTGCTATTTTACAACATTCCGTAATTCTGGCACTTCCAGAAACATCTACAGCTTGTTCTCCAAAAGCCTTTCATCATGGAAGGTGCTGGACAGCCACAGTGCTTGATGCGAGCCAGGGTGCTCAAAGCCTGCCCTTTGGGCGTGCGGGTAGTTCCTTTGAACCAGCGGGGTTTTATAGCATGAGCATGCCTAGGGAGGGTTTCTCCAGGCTGCATTAGTACTTCAGGACAGGGACTATCCTGTTTTGAAAAACAGGAAAGCCCCTTTTTTATAATGCCACCCTGTTGCACAACAATAATGAGCCATTAGAAAAATGAGGTGGGAGAGGGGATGAAGACTGTCCGGTCCCACTGAGGAGGATGCGTGAGCTACGGCTTTCAAAAGGAAGAAGTGCCCAATGGCCCAGCAGTGTTTTCCTAATCAGTTTGCTCTCCTAACCAATTTTGCTCCAGTTGTGAGTAGATCTTCACCTTTCCCATGCTGTAAGAAGAGTGATTAAAGGCAACCGAGAGAAGGTGAGTCAACAGTGACTAAAGACCATGCATAAATTCCTAACAAATGGCTAGCAGGGGAGATAAATAGCAGAAACATGAAGCAGCCTGACTTTACTTTGAGTAACACTTTATCTTCGCAGAGACGTCACTGCTGTGTTATATCATTTCCTCTCCAGATATGGCAGTGGAGGAGCAAGACCTTCCCATAATGGGGCAGCGCAAGGTGATTGGGATGTTTTTCATGGCTGCCTTGGGAGTGCCATCGGCCATACCAGAGCAAAGACTTGGGGCAGGAAAAAATACAGGGAGAAGAGCTAATAAATGACCTTTGCAATAGTGCGATCAAGTCAAGCCCACCAAAAATGGTAGGTGAGGTAAGTGTTTGCTCAGGAGCGGTGTCCTGCCCGCAAGGCATAACCAGGCAGTCAGCTAGATAGGAGCAAACTTGCAACACTGGATTTTTTTGGAGGGCTTGTGTTATCCCTGATAAAAATCTTGTTGGTATTTGGGGCAGAATGGCGCTGCTGGACACTTTGGCTGACTTTCCCTATGCCTTTCCATTACCGCTCTGACAAAATCACGGTGTTTAGTTATTCTTGCTTCAAATAAAATGCTCTGGCCAGGGTACATGTCCTTGAACTTGTGGGTGTCCTTCTCTTTTGTAGGGTCAGATCCCATACAACCCCCAAATGCATACGCCACAAACGCAGCAGTGAGCATTGCCACAGGGCTGTGCGTGTGTAGTGCTCCTTGTAAACGTCTCCAAAATAGATGTCTTGTGCAGAAAGAAGTTTAAACAAAATGAGCTTCTAGAAGAAAATCTGCCTATTTGATTTTTTAATATTTTTTTTATATTTTTTTTTTGGAGAAACACCCTCCCTGTCCCAATGAATTCACACTGATTTGGGGGAAATACGCTCTTTTGCAAGATGGCAAGAGCCAAAGGACTGTGTGGAGCCTTGTGTTCCATCAGAGTTCAAAAAGGTGAGTTCCCATGAGATGGAAAGATTGGTTTTCTTGTTTAATGTGGTCTTTTCTTTGAAGTTAAGGATTTGAATGGCACATTTCTCATGTTTTCTTTTGTTTTGTTTTTCCCCCTAAATATGTTTATGTTATTGGTTGAAATATTTTGTTGGCTTTGCTTATTTATGCCTGTAGAGGGTATCATTTAGGTAAGTTCTTATTTCTTGCATTTTCCACCTATAATTATGAACATGTAAGAGGAGGAACACGCCTTGTCATAAAATAGTTATCTAACATGAAGTGACAGTAAATGTGTTTGCTTTGCCTGTTTCTTCTTTGTGCCGACTTTCCATGAATATTCTGGTACATGCACAAAATTGTGTGTGTACATATTTATTTGTGTATATATATACACACACAGGGACATGGGTGGCAGCAGCTACAATCAGTTAATGGTAGAAAATGTTAAGGGGTAGGGGGTCAGTTTTAATCTCTTTTTAGTGTGTTTCTCTAAAATTTTGACCAACTAAGTGCGTGTAAGCAATCCCAGGACAGGTAATTTCACTCAGATGAAGGATTTAATTTCCAGTTTTCAGATGACAAATGCTCAGATGAAGGATTTAATTTCCAGTTTTCAGATGACAAATGCTGCAATGAGTGATGCCAGTAACAAAAATTAGTTGCAGAAAATTTAAAAGAAAAAAAAAAAGCGTACCCAAACCATTGCAGACTTCTTATTGGCTGTTTGCAGGGTAAAAGCAAATTCATTAAATAAATAATTTGATCCAAATGATTTGTCCAGTTGTTGATGGAGCTAACAGGGTGTCTGGACTTGTCTAGTGGTTTGGTTAGAGCAATAGTGATGAGGAGAGCGATGTAGAAAAGCTGTTTATTTAGAAAGCTGCTCCCCAGTCTGCTGAGAAGGAAAACCAGCAGTCTCCCAAGATGCTATTTTCTTTCCTCAAAATTTCTGAGCCAGTACAGCCAAGCATGGAGCTGACATTCAGTGGAGAACAACTAAACAACTACGGCTGATGGGTGCGGTGGAGCACAATGTGCCACCAAGTGGCATCAAGGCTCTGCACATCCCCTGTGAGGGTGTCAGGAGAGCTCCACGTTATCTATCCCCTCTGCTGTGGTACAACACACTGGTTCCCCAGAGGGAAAGGGGATCATGGATGATGCTCAGAGGGTTGGTTTGGTGCTGCACAGTACGTGAGCCTCCAGGGATAGCCGTGCGCTCCTGGTGCTCTGGGGACTCCAACCTCACCACCTGTGCTGGTGAGAAAAGACTTTTCCTATCTGAAAATAACCAGCTGGTGTCTAGAATCTGCTCATGGGAGCATGTGTCTGATGTGTAATTTGAACTTGATTGTGAGAGCCTTGTAACCTCTCCTGGAGCCAGGGTTGCCTTCCTGGAGCCAGCCCCTGCTCCCCCAGGTGACTGGGCAGTTGCACAGCTGGGCACTGGTGTGCCTTGGACCTGCATCAGGTATGCTCCAGCCTCCCTCCAGGGAGTTATCAGGCAGAGGTGACTCCTGGGGCATCATCCTCTTCTATGGTTCTCCCTTGATGCCTTGCATCAAGCTGCTTACACCCGTTTGCTCAACAACAGCTGAAACTTGACACTGACTAGGATGAGCACGGAAGGGAGAAACCTGTTGTCTCTAAGGCTGAATCTGCCTTGCAAAGCTTGGTGCTCACTGCAGAGCCCCTTGGGAACTTGTTGGTGTCTTGGGATGTTGCTTTTGTGAATGGGGCCAGCCTGGAAATTTGTTTGTGGATGTTTTCTTCCATGCTTTGGAAATATTTGGGTCTGCAGTGCTTGGTCAAAGAATGGCAAGGAGAAATTATTCCTTGTCTGCCACTTACATGTGGTGTGTCATGAGACTTTTTCTAGTCCAGGCTTTGAATGCAGTCATTGAGTTAGAAGAATAGTAGTACTAACAGGGAGGTTGGCTAATGCGTTTTGGTGTTGATGCCATCACCAAAATGCTGAAGCACGAGTCGGATTGTAACTGTGTTTGTGGGACTGGCTGAGAAGCATTTCCACACAGCTCCAATGAACTATGTTCGTCTTTGGTCCCACTTTATAACACGGAAATCAGAGTGGTTTTGGCGTGTGCATTTGGAAAACCAGGTGCAGCACTGATCCAGTTTTCATTTCATCCAAATAACCAGAACTCAGAGAGAGAGGACTTAGCAGAAATGGGTTTGGCTGACAACGAGAGGAACCCAGTAAAATTTCTGCAGCACCAACAAACTTCCCTGGCCTTACACACAGTTCAGAACCATCTCCCAAACTCAGGGACCCCCTTGGCTATGGGTTTTATGTGTCACAAAGGCTGGCTCTGACAAACATTTTTAGAATCACCATCTGTCAGCTTTTCCTTCAGGGATCCCCATTTACAATAGCTTGTATCCAGGCCATGTGCAAATCCCACTGGGCTGAAACTTGGCCCTGCACTAGGTTGGCCTGGATGCAATTAACAAACACAAAATTTATTCAATTTAGTTTGGCCAAAAATATAAGATTCTTTTGTTTGCAGATGCTGAAGTTTAGATGCCTTTCCAAACTTATCAAGGACAAGGGAACTACTTTGGAGAAAATAACAGCCAACCCCAAAGTCATCCTAGAATTCAAATTGAACCAGAAACCTAAGCACTGAGTCGTTCGTGGAGGTCGGGAATACAGTCCATTTTTTGATTACGGTACTTTTCAGTGCTGTCTCTGAACTTCATTGTTCTATCTGGGCTTCAGACAGAAACATCGGAAGAAGACACCCAGCATTTGCAGCATCGGGGTGGGGGGGCCAGCAGGAAGCATCAGATATCGCCAGGGAATTCTTCAGTTCCAGGAGGTTTGGAGAAATGTCTGACCAAAATCGCAGAGCGTGGAGGCCAGGACTGTCATGGGAGCATGTCTGAATTGCTTTGGTCTGGAGGTCTGTCTGAAAATGTTGTAAGATCAGGATCTGTCCCTCTTGATTGTCCATCCAGGCTCTCCAGTTTTTAGGTCTTATCTGCCAGACTCGAGCATGATAAACCTTATGGAGCCTGATTTGTCTGCCTCGGAAAGATGAAGGGCTGATTCAATCCTTCTGCTTTCACATCTTTGTTTCCCAGCTTCCACAAAAGCACCAGACCACTTAATTTATTCCCATCATCTGTGCAGGTACACTGTGATTATCAAGCAAAATTCATGCCTAGGATGCGGGCCTTCTTTGAGCACTGTTAACCCCTCACCACCCATCTCCCCCGGTGACCCCTGGTCCAGGGAGGGAGCAGAGCCTCTAGTTGGGCTGAGTGGTGGGATGAGAAGCTAAAGGAGAGTTTCCCTGCACGTACCTGGTGGCAAGCAGGCCTGCTGCCAGCAGCTAACGCAGCACAAGAAGGGTTTCACGTAAGCACTGATCGGCACGGAGTAAAATCTTCGCGTGTATTACCTCCCCCAGGTAGCTTCGCTCCAAGAGATAACACGGGAACATTTCACAAAGACCTTCTTTTTTTCCTAATTAAGGAGAATGTACCCCAAACATCTCCACCAAAGCGAAGACCCAGAGGTGCTGGGGACATTTGGTCACCTCCCAACCACCCCGGCCACGCCGCAGGAGGGGGAGCAGGCGGGGTGCCACGCAGCCACCCGGCGCCCGCCGCTGCCGGGTTAGTTAGTATGCTGGGGCTGTGCGGTTCCTCTGCCATCTTCATTCACCTTAGAAATGTGGAGTTTGAATGGTTTATCTCTATTAATCACCAGCTCAAAAAGCTTTGTGCACCAAGGGCCGCAGATAATTAACTTCACTATACTGCTTGTCTTATCAGTATCAACCTCTTGTCCTCCTGTGAAATAGTTAAAACCATCAGCCCCTTTTTACTTTTCCATTTAACTCTAATGCTTTAACACTGATGTTCTAAATGGCCCCGCGATTCATACTTATTAGACAAACCTTTCTTTCTGCATCTCTTATATTTTTTGATAATTGGCCATGTACGTTTCTAAGGGGCTCAACAGCTTTTCATGCCACTATACTAATAATTAAAGGTTTCTCGCAGCCTTTCAGATTTCTCTTTACCTTTTTTTCTTTGATAAGTATAATTTGCTGTTTAATTTGGGGGCGGGGTGGGGAGGAAGAAAAGTAGTAGTGAGAGGCCGACTGAATAGGAAAAGGTTTTGTTTAACAAAATTCACTGATTTTAAACAAATCTGCACCGCTTCCCCATTTTTGTCCCTCCTCTCACTGGAGCTGTGCTGCGAAGAGAGGAGAGGGGGGAGGCGAGGTGTGGTGGAGGCAGGAGATGGGGGTTTGGTTCCTTCGGAGCTGCTTGGTTTAGCCCTTTGCTGTACTCACGTCCTCCTCCCCGCCAGCTCCCCAGGAGCTGATGTGGGACCAGGCCCTTGCTCCACTGGGGACAATGGCAATTGGGCTGCCTGGCTGTGCCAAGGGAGGCTACAGTACACGATCCCTCACACTGTGCTGTTTCATCTCCGTGTCCCAGGTTGTTTTTAAGGGATCTTTCCTCCCAGAGGCTTTTTTTTTAGCTCCATCAATCTGCTGTCCAACTCCTCTGTCCTACCTAGCTCTCAGGGGCTGAATCTGGGTGTTTATGCACCTGATGCTTATGCTATCCGGAAGGATTGATCCATTTTGTGTGGTTTTGTCTCCTGCCTGTCTCTCCCAGAAACCCTTCCTGTTCTAGAGTACTCTTTTCCCTCTCCCCCTTGCATTATTTGAGTTTTTCCCTTTTGTGTCACTTGGTTTTGTGTTTGTATTATTTTTAATCCAGGTTCTCCAGTGCCTTCTCTCCTCCTGTTTTTGGGTTCTTCCCATCTCAGCTCATTTCTACCATTGTTCCTGCTCTGGGACCCTGCTGGGGGATGACTGAGCTGGGGGCTACCCGTGGTCCAAGCAACAGAGCCATCCCATGTGGAGAACAAGCCCAAAGGGCTCCCCAGGGGCATTGCCCTACATCCATGGAGAACACAAGGACGCTTTTGGCCACACTGCTGGATCTTCTCTCAGCACCAGCCCTAGGTGAGTACCACCATGCAAACAGAGGGGAGACATCGGGTCTGGGGGAGCCCCATTGCTGCCATGGCCAGCTCTGCTTCCCCAGGTGCTGCCTGGCTTGGGAGAAGTGTTTGGGGGCTCTTGGAGGCAGGGGCATGGGCAAGGATGGGATCTGGGAAGAGAAACTGGTGCTATGACAGCCTGTTGGGCTGTGTTCGTGCAGGCGAGGCCACTTGAGCTGAGAGGACCCAGAGTCTATGTTCTTCACTAAAACTACTCTGACAAATGTTACTCAATAGCTCCCATTCTAATTTTTAAATTAATTCTTTCCAGCCCCCTACCTCTTTCCATGCACATAGGCTCAGCAAGCATTATTGCTTGTGCTAGGGTACGCTGCTAAACCCCAGCTCCTGGAGTCGTGCAATGGGAGGCCCTTTAGCCCCTTCAAAAGAAAACATTTCCAAGGTTTTGCAGAGAAGGATACGCGTGTGACCCCAGTGAGCACTCTGAAGTGCTCACGCAGAGACAAACACCCAACACTCTGTTTTAAGACCTGCAATTTTTACACCATCTCTCGATGTGGGGAGGAGGTGGGAGCAGAGGGAAGAGCTGATCATAAATTTTTTCCTGTCGGAGATGGGCAGCGTGGGGTTGTGCTCCTCCAGCCAACACACAGCGGCCGTTTCTTATCAGCCCCAGTGCTGAATTACAAAACAAGTTCATGCAGAAGTCACTCAGGTTGTTGTGCGTGGGTTTTGTTGTTGATGTTGTTGGGTTTTGGTTTGTTTTGTTTGTTTTTTGTTTGTTTGTTTGTTTGACTTTGTTTTTTGAGCAAAGAATTCATACAACCTGTAATCTGTTTGGGGTTTGTTCTCCAGTATGGGAGGGAGAAAAAGGCCAGTGATGCTTCTGTAGAGAATAATTCATCCCGTCCTACTTGCATGGGTGCTAAGTGACCCCTTTGCTCAGCTCCTGCTTGGGCTGGGGAGGCGAGCGGGCTGCCTCCCGTATCTCCGTTAGCTGCTGGGGGTTAATAGGGGCACTCGACACACACAGGCAGGCTCTAAGCAGGGTCAGGGGGCAGCCAGCACATTGCGACCTGAAATCTGACGGCTTTTACTCATTCCAGGTTAGCTGACCCCATTTCTCCCTGGGTAACTGCCTTGCCCCATGCCCACCCTGGAGCACACGGTGCTGCAGGAGGCTGGCCTGATCCCGCTGAGCGCTGGGGACAGCAGTGACCCCCCTGCACGGATGCGCTCTTCGCCCTCATGTTCCATACCCCAAGTCACTAGCCAGTATCACAAGGGGAAATAGAAAGCAGCAGCGGTTGTTTAACATCCAGCCCCTGCCCCTCTGCCATCTCGAGCAGGACAGCTCGAAGCTGCTCAGCTCCGGATGATTTATTTGTATTTATACCCGCCAGGCCCAGTGCTGTGCAGCAGTGCGACCACGGGGACCTGGCAGTATCTGGGGTGCTGGAGAGCAGGACCTGACCCTGACGTCCCCCCGTGTCACCACCCATCCCATCCAGAGGTTTATTTTCAGCAACTTTGCAATGCAAACAGCGGTAAGATCTCTTCCTGAGCTCCAACCACCAACCCTGGCCGTTCTCACTGATGCTTCAGTTTTCTCCCTTTCCCCTGAGCCCAGGCTCCGAGGGCAATTCCCTTATCTCTGCCTGTTTTGTTTTGGTATCTCACACAGCAGAGTGTCTCGAGGTGTCTCTCCTCCTTCCTCCTTTCCAGCTGTCTGTCTCCCTCCATCACTTTGTCACCCTCAGCTGCTTGTTAGTCTCTGCTTCCCTCCTCCTTCTCCCTAGTTGGTCCATTCGTCATTTTTCCTCAGTAGTCCTGGCTCCTTTCTCTCCCACTTCTTCTGTCTCTTGTTTCTCCCTCCTTTCTCTCGTTCGTTTTTCCCCCCTAGTGTCGGAACTTCTTTCTTTGATTCCCCCCGCCTCCACCTCCCACCCTTTATAGTGCTGTTATCTGTGATTTTGGCAAAGAGCACATTTATTGGGGAGGAATATCCCCATGGCAACGCAGCAGATGGTGACTTTTGATTAGCTTGGCTTTTTTTTTTTTTTCCCCCGACTGCCAAATCACAATCCGTCTTTGAAATTAAATCAGGCTGTGATAGCATCAGTTGTTCTGGAGAGGGGACGAGAGAGAAACAAGACTGAAGTATTACAGCGGGAGCCAGGATGTAATGCAAATTCGTGTTTTTTAACCCCAGCAATAAAACCCCCCTGTTCATTCCGGGAGCAGGAGGAACCACAAGAGAGGGAATAATAAAACTGGGAAAAAAAAAAAAAAAAAAGATTTTGGGAAAAAAAAAATCACCCCACATGGGCTCCTCACTCCGAGCATGCTGGTGTTTGTCTCTGTAGGGCTGATGTCGCCCCTCACCAAGTCACCAGTGCTGCCAGGCCCAATCCTGCAGCTGTTTGAGCACTGCCGAGGGTTTTTCTCTTGTCATGGATGGTGGGAAGAGGCCAGGTTCTCAGCTGAGCGATTGGAGCAGCTATTTATTAATGGGGTGCGGCATCCGAAGCGGGAGGAAAACACGAGCAAGTGGCTTCTGGAGGGAGACGAGGGGAGTTTCAGGGTAAAGCAGGGAGGCAGAGGAGCTGGAGGGGGTGGCTGGCATCGGCGAGCCAAGATGCCGAGGGATGGAGGGCATGGGAAAGCGAGGAGCTGTCTGTAAGGGCACTGGGGAGGTCTGCGCCTGGGGAAGGAAGGGCACAAAGCTGTGCCATGAAGAGCGAGTTGCAGGGCATAGCCCCGTGGAAGATGGGGAAGCAGATACCGGCGCCAGACAGTGCAGAACTTTCTTGAACTGCCTCAGAAGTGGGTGGTATTCGAGTCCCACGAGCTCTTTCGCCTGGTGCCTTCTGGAGGGTGACCAAAGGTGAATGCAATTGAGCGCTAATCATAGCTGAAGATAAAGGAGGGCTTGAAAATGAAAGCCGTGGAGAGGAGATGACTAATGGCCCGGCCATTTCGTGGGAACTGACGCGTCGGCTCAGGCTGCGAGTCTGCCGGGCTGCTATCTCCAATTACTCATGTTCCCCACGCAGGAGTTCAGCAAGCAGTTGTCTGGTCTCCGTGCTGACTCCTTTGGACGCAATGAGGTTAGAAGTTACGGCTGAAGGTAAATAAAGAGTCACGTCCAGTCTTGGTGAGGCTCAGCTGAGGATGGAGGGGTTTCATCAGAAGCTCTGCCCTTGTGGCCCGCAAAATCTTTGAACATATGGGGTCATCTTGTTCTTTATAACAAATAACTGAGGTGTTCCCACTACACTTCCTGGTACGTAGTCCATGCTCTCCCGCTTGCTTGGAGCTATGGGCCTCCACTGCGACTCTCCCACTGCATTTTTAGTCAAACCAGTGCCTTTTCCTGCTATTGCTCCAGGGGACTCTGCAGGCTGTCTTAAGTTCTTCCAAGATAAGCTCTCTGGCCAACAGATAAAATTTTGCTGCAGATGTTGTTGCTTCTGTTGGAGAGCTCAGTTTGGGAGCATTTTGTGTACGCCTGGTGTTAGATCTGATGTTCTTTGAGGAGAAGAGACGATTTGGGTGCAGGGGATGAGTCAGGTAGGGATGGCACTGCAGCTTAATTGCCAGGGGATATCCCAGGGCCTGATTCTTCCCTGTGAGTTGATGGCACGAGGAAGAGCTCCAGTCTGCAGCAGCTCACGTGTCAGAGGACAGCATGGGAGAAACATTTCATGAGCTCCGTGGGATCTATACCTCTTACCAGATCTCAGGTGGCTACACAGGGGAGGTTAACCCATGGTCCAGTCTGTTTACATGGTAAATCCTAGTTTAGACGAGAGTTTGTAGCTGCTGGGCATTGCTTGCCTTGTGTTGGTCAGATGGCTGCTGCCCAAACGGCTGAGCTCCTTGCCCTGGGCACCCTGCCAGCGTCTGCTTGCCCTTAAATCTCTCCCCCAGCCATCTTCCCTCGCAAGCACCTTGCAGACGTGCTCTTCTCTTCCCTCATGCACGCCCCCAGCAGAAAAACATCATCTGTAGGAGCCGTGCGTGCTGTGCCTGCGTGCTCTGCCCCACGGTGCTGCCCTGCCCGAGCCGGTGACCCCCGGCGGGGTGCAGGAGCTGCTGGTGGCTGCGAGCCCGCGCTGCCCTGCGTCCCGCCGGCACGGCGTGCGTGTCCCGAGCGGTCCCAGCACGAGCCTGGCATCCGCAGGGCTGCGATCCAGGCCAGAGAAGCTGCACAAAACAAACCGGCTGTGACACCGCGGCAGCGTGCTCCAGCCTCTCCGGCTTGACACCGCATCGTTGTATATTGATGCCATGACACCAGCGCTCAAAATAGCACCGGGACAATTTGATTTCCTGCAGATCTCAGGATGGGGTCATAAAAACGGAGACTGTTCTGGAGAAATGGGATAGGGTGGAAATGTTTGTAGTGACATCACAGCCGCTTCCATGCCAATGGCCTCCTACTGCTGCAAACATGTGATTGTGATTTTGTTGCACGCTCCATCAGAAGAGAGCCAGGCTGGCCGGGGAGGGAGAGGGAGGAGAAGGGACGGAAATATTCAGTTCTTGTATCTTGATTCAAATATCTGACAATAGCCTTGCAGCCTGGGGTGCTGAGTGATCAGGAGTGGGGCTGTGGGGCTGCTGCCAGATCAGGGGAATCCAGGGGTTTGCAAAGCCCAACTGGGGGCTGGGTAAGGACCCTTGGCTTTGTGGTGGAGGATGCTGCTCTGCATTGGGGTGCTTCGTTGGAGAGTTGGGTGGTCTCCTCGTGCTCGCTCTTCCCCACTGGTCCCAGTTGCATTTAACGTCACTCTTCTTGGCAAAAACAACCTCCAGGCTGCAAAAGCCACCATGTAGCTGTTGTCTTTTTGGGGTTCCTGCTATAGAGGGGAACAGATCTCAGTCTTGGAGCTTCACCCGCAAAGCAGGGAGCAGCAGTGAGGGGTTTAAGTAGCTGAAGGTGGAGAAGGGAAAAAGGGAGCAAAGAGATGGGAAGAGGAGAGAAACAGAAGTCAGCCCAAAAGGCAAAACTGGTCTGTGTCTGAAGGAGCTCGCAGGAGGAAACCTCGCTTTCATTGCCCCACAAAGGGCTCTGGTGGCTGCCGAGCCCAGCTCGGAGCAGTATTTGCAGGGGGATGGGGCAGTGAAGGGATCTGGTTAATGCACCCCTCCATCCGATTAGGCTGTCAGAAAACCAAACCGCTTCCATCACTGTCTGAGGAGAGACCCACTCCTTGCTTAATGTGCTCGCGGTCCCGTCATTGCCACTCCAGGGAGTGGGGCCACCGCCACCGCAGTGTGCAGCAGGCTGTGAGTTTAAAATCCTATTAGGCAGAGACTAACAGTTGCAAAAAGAAAGCAGGTATCCCCTAGTGGGGATTTAAAGATGTTTAGACATAATTGGATTTTCCAAGCAGATGTCATTATTGTTAAACCGTTGCCCACTTGATATGTTCAAGTTGTTGGCTGTAATTGCTAAAATTAGCAGGTCTGTATAGAGCAAAGGTCAGTCGGTTAATATTGTGATTTAGTATTTTATGAAGTAATTCCAAATGCTTTTATGTATGTTTTTGTTTTTGCAGCCTAAGCCCACATTAAAGTAGTTGTGGGGCCTGCTAATAAAATAATGACTCAGTCTCTCCGAGCCGGCTGCCGGCCGGGCTCGAGCCGCCTCCGCTGCGCGCTCCTGCTGCTGCTGCCAGGGCTGGGCGCCTGGGGCTAGGGCTGCCCTCGGGCAGGAGCCCTCCAAGTGGCTCCAACCCGCTCCCTTCAAGCAGAGCTGGTGCTTGAAACCAACCCCTTACAGCCTGCAGTGGCTGAGAAAAAGTTCTGCCACCAGAGCCTCTGGTCCTCATGGTGGATCAGCTGTGCCTGCGAGCACCTTCAGTGAACGCCCCTGAAGGATGCACTGCTGGCCTCACAGGTCCCAAAACACAGCTTTTTTACAGGGAAGGTGTATTTCTGGAAGAGCCTGTCCTGGGACAGGCAAGGGTTTACTTCCAAGGCTATATTGAAAGGTTTGCTGAGGTTAATTTATTTTTGTAACACGGGCATAACCCATTTCCATGGATGGTTTGGGTACACCTGGCAGATTACCTGCTATGGCAGGAATGCAGAACTTTGATAATGCAGTCTGACCTGCTTTCTTACCACCAGCCCTTTATGGCTCTCTTTTTTTCCCCTTTTTTCTTTCCCTTTTTTTTTTTTTTTTTTAATCTAAAATCTTTTGCTTGCAGGAAGTGCTGAGAGGTGTTTTGTGGCCTGCAGTGCACAGGGAGATGTGGAAGAAGAGATCTGCAGGACCCAACACTTACTGGGTGAGCAAGCTTGGGTCTCTTCCTGACCCATGTTCCCATATTCCTAACAGCAAGTTTTGGTGTGTGCAGCTGCCAGGGCTGCCACAGGAGCTCTGTGCTGCTGCAAGAGGTTGTGGAAGCGATCTGAGCAAGGGATGAGAAAAGGAAGTGTTCACTCTTAGATGCTGCCTTACATACTGCTGCAAGGGAGGGAATTGATGACCCAATCAGGCCAGGTCTAAGATGTATCTAAGATGTATCTGCGTATCTTGATCACAGATCAGAAATCTTGGATGTGCACAAAAATATCCCATTAGTGGGTGAGATTGAAGCGAAGCTTCAGCCCTAGCAAGCTGAAAAGGTTGTGGAGCTGGGAATTCAACTCTGGTCCAGATTTCAAAACATGCTATTTTGATCAAAGACCATTTCAGCTTCCGATCCAAAATGTGCATTTTTTTTAAACCTTGAACTTCCTCCAAAGTAATGTAAGGTAAATTCAAGTGGCCACCACACGCAAGCACAGTGTCCACATAGGGAATGTTGGTAGATGTGTTTACTTGTTTGCTGTGACCAAAATCATCATCTGCCTGCACCAAACCCAGAAATTCTTTGTGAACCCCAGGGTCCCAGTGCCTGCAGGGCTCCTTACAGCTCTCAGACCATGGAGGAGCAGACATGGATCACCCCGCTGGCTGTCCCTGCTCCCATCACTGCTGGCTTCCCTCTGTGAACCCACCGTGTCCTCAGGCTTCTTGCCTCTCAGTGCTGTGCCCTTTTCTCATGGGAGAGGGTCTCACAGGGACTTAACAGTCCTTGATATAACAAATGCAGTTTTGTTATGTTTTTTTGTTTTTTTTTTTCAGCTGAACATGGCATCAGTTTGCTAAGGAAGGCAATTTGTGCTATGTTTTTCTTTTCAAAAGTAAAAGGTTTCGATAAAGTATTCTGGCAAATTTAACTTAGTGTTGGGAGTCCTTTATGAATATCCCTACCTCACAGTCCCCTTCAAAGCACGGGAGTCTGTTATTCCCATTTTACAGCAGAGGAAACAGATGCAAAGACCTGCCCAAACACAGGCAGCAATTGCAATCTGGATTACAGTGAAAATGTCCCTGAAAGCTAGTTCTGCTCTCCAGGGAGACATCAATGGGCAGGACAAGCTGGGAAACTCAAGGGGACGTAGCGTGGGACCAAAAATGAGAGGCGTGTAGGATTTTAAACGCCTAAGGTGATCTGGCCAAGCAAGAAACAAGGCTCAGTGGTTCATGTCAGCACAGGGGAGGGCGGAAACGTGGGGAGCGCGTTCCTCAGCTCAGTGGAGGATGAAAGCAGCATGCTGCCAGGCTGTGCAAGAAATGCATTGTGAGCTGGCTCTTGCAGCTGTGAGCAAGACAATGAGGATGGTAAAGTACCATCTAACTCCCCGCATCCAGCTTTGCACAAAGAGGGAGCTAAATTGAGCCCCCTGGAATCTGTTTGCTCATGGTTTGAATTTAGCTGGCTTTGTCTGAACAACTCCAAGCAGAAAGGGACCATAGGTTGCCCCAGTCCAAGACCCAAATTCACCTTCTCCCTGCTCGCTTTCAGCCTCTGAGCTACACAGGGGTCTCCAGTCGTAATTTGCAGGGCGTTCTCAAGAACCACATCATTTTCTTTTATGGTCGTTAAGGAACAACATTTTCTTCCTTCTCTTCCTCACTGAAGTCTTCCTTTGTTTTATTTTTCCTGTGGCAGTCCCTCTCTGCTGGGCTCTGCCTGACCCACTGAGCCTCCCCCATTTCCTTGCCCGTATACAAAATCTGTTGCCAATGAGTACGGCCCTTGTGTGCCAGTGCCCAAAGGCAGGGCAGCCTTCACTCAGCCTCAGGGCTGTGCATGAGGGTCAGACAAGAGTCTTTATTCTTCCAGCCAGCAGACTTCAACATTGGCAAAAGGGTCCGCTTCAAGGGGTGGGAAGAGAGCCTGTAGACTGCAACAGAGCTCCCTTACCTGTTCACCAACCAGCCCATCTCTACTAGCTAACTTGGTCTATTTGGCAAACCAGCAAGGTTCTTTTGTTTGTATTTACTGTACCTACTTAGTGAACAAGCAGTGTGTATCGCCTTACACCGGGTTAGTACAGCCCCCCTCCTTAGTTTAGCATAACTTCTTATCTTTACCTGTCAGGTCACTGCACCGAGCCTGACTGAATTTAAGAAGAGATTGGACTGTGCACTTAGTCACATGGTCTGAACTTTTGGGTAGACCTGTGCGGTGTCAAGAGTTGGACTTGATGATCCTTAAGGGTCCCTTCCAACTCAGGATATTCTATGATTCTATGATAAGTATTTGTTCCAGGCCATTGAGAAGCTGGCACCGGTTGTGTCATGAACTCAGCATTTATTAATACTGCTCATAGTAGATCCCATCCGCTGAGCAATGAGGGCATGTCCCACAGCTTGCAGTTGATGCACGTGCTGGGGGACGTTATAATTTCAGGTGTTCTCTTCCATTTATCGTCACAGACCTCAAATGGCCATCTTCTTCCACTTCTATTGTCTCCTGCCCGTTCTCGATGATTTTCCGGGTGGTGATCGCCCCGCCATTTGCCGAGGCGATCGGCTCCGGGGCAGACGCGTTCTGCAGCGGAGCGGGGGATCGGGCCAGGCAGGGCTAACTTTCCGGCATCGAGCCGACTTCAGGGAGCCGCCAGGACCCGGCAGCCCTCGTGAGGGAGGCTGACGAGGCGAAGGCGGAGCCAGCAGCGCCCCCTCCCCGGCCCTTCAAAAGCAGCCCCTAGGGAGCGCGGCGAACAGAGCGGGCAAACAGGGCGTGGCGCGGCAGAAGGGAGTGGCGCGGCAGTTACTGTGGCAGTTCGCGCAGGCAGGGCGAGCAGGAAGGGCGGAGAGCAACCCCTGCCCACACGAACACCTCTTCACGACAGTCGTTAGCTAGGTGGTAATGGTCTTTCAGGCTGGTAGCGATGAAGTAGCAACAAGAAGCCCGAAGGCGCTCAAAAGAGACTTTAGGGATTTGGGGCGACTACTTAGAGGATCAGGCGCGCAGGTTGTGTTTGCCTCTGTCCTTCCGATAGGGGGGATCGAAGCTGAAAGGCGTGCTGTTCACATAAACTCGTGGCTTCGAGACTGGTGTGACCGGCAGAACTTTGGGTTCTTTGATCACGGGAAGGCCTATGCTACACCGGGCCTGATGGCACCAGTTGGGAAGGGCCTCTCTCAGAGAGGGGTAAGGATCTTTGGTCAGGAGTTGGCAGGGCTGATAGATAGGGCTTTAAACTAGAGTCGAAGGGGGAAGGGGCTAAAACCAGGCACGCCGGTGAAGACCTAAGGGATGGTACGCTAGAATCAGAGGGGCTGTGTGCCAGTGAGGTCCTTCGGTTAGATCCACAAGGTGCTGAGTGCAAGGAGACGCACCTGAAGTGCTTCTACACGAACGCACGCAGTATGAGGAATAAAATGGATGAGCTAGAAGTCCTGGCCCAGTCCCGCAACTATGACATCATCGGCATAAGCAAAACCTGGTGGGATGAGTCCTGTGACTGGGGTGTTGCTGGTCTGTGAGTCCTGTGACTGGTCTGGTGGGAGATGTGGTGATTGGTGGCCGCCTCGGTCATAGTGACCATGAAGTGGTTGAGTTCAAAATTTACGGTGACAGAAGGAAAAGTGCCACCAAAACCTCATCCCTAGATATGGGGAAGGCGGACTTCAGGCTGCTCGGGGAACTAGTCAGCAAGGTCCCCTGGGAAGCTGCTCTTGAAGGCCTTGATGTCCACCAGTGCTGGTCATTCTTTAAGCGATGCCTCCTAGAAGCACAAGATCAGGCAATTCCTAAATATCGCAAGTCAGGCAGGCGCGGCAGGAGGCCGGCATGGCTGACCAGGAACATTCTTATGGAGATTAGGCTGGAAACAGAGAGTGTTTCGCTACTGAAGGAGGTCCAGGTGACATGGAAAGAATACAGGGATGCTGTTCGTGTTTGTAGGAAGAAAATTCCGTGTGGCTAAAGCACACCTAGAGTTGAAGCTGGCTGTGTCTGTGAGAGAAAATAAAAAGGTTTTTTTTAGATATGTGAATGGAAAAAGGAGATCCAAAGAATACATAGGGCCGCTCCTTGATAGGGAAGGTCTCCTCACAGACGATGACATAGGCAAAGCAGAGACGCTTAATGCCTTCTTTGCCTCTGTCTTCAATGCCGATGATGGGCTTCGGGACCCAGGGTGCCCTGAGCTGGAGGACCGGGACGGTGGGGATGACAAACTCCCAACCAACCCTGAACGTGTGTGGGATTTGCTACTCCACCTGGATCCCTACAAGTCCATGGGTCCGGATGGGATTCATCCCCGGGTGCTGAAGGAGCTGGCAGACGTCATCGCGGAACCTCTCTCAATTATTTTTCAACGATCCTGGGAATCTGGAGAGGTCCCGGTAGACTGGAAGCTGGCAAATGTTGTGCCGATTTTCAAGAAGGGTCAGAAAGAAGACCCTAGCAATTACAGGCCTGTCAGTCTCACGTCAGTGCCTGGTAAAATCATGGAGAAGATGGTTCTCGAACGTATTGAGGCGCACCTGGGGGACAAAGCAGTCATTGGTCCCAGCCAGCATGGGTTTGTGAAGGGTAGGTCCTGCCTAACTAACCTGATTTCCTTTTATGATAAGATATAATTTCAGGTGTTCTCTTCCATTAATCGTCACAGACCTCAAATGGCCATCTTCTTCCACTTCTATTGTCTCCTGCCCGTTCTCAATGATTTTCCGGGTGGTGACCTTCTTGCCGTTGATCCCTTCAGTAGTGGTCAAGACTGATCTGAAACTGTGTGGCTCAGCCATGTCCTCAGCAAAGGAGAATGTGGGCTGCTCACTGGGGCTGAATGGATTAAATGGCATGAAAGACTGCACGAAGTCAGAAAACAAACTGGAGCAGCTTCCTCTTCCACTTGGACCCTGCTTGTTTTCATCATCATTCCTGAGGTTGCCAAATGGGTCCCAGAAAGCATGCACAAAGGGATCCATCCCTCCAAAGAAATCCCTAAAGATCTCATTGGGGTCTTGGAATACATAAGTGGTGTCAAAAAAGCTGTTATGACCCATCGAGGGACTTCTTGCTCTGTGGGAAATGCTCTCCTTAACAGACCTGTCATAGAGCGACCGTTTCTGAGGGTCAGACAAAACCTCGTATGCCTCAGCGACAGCTTTGACTTTTTTTGAGGAAAGCTTTAAATTTTTTTTTTTTTTACTGTGCTGAAAATTCTTTTTCTTTTCGGCTTCCTCCTTGTTGCTGGGATTCTTATCAGGATGCCATTGTAGTGCCAGCCTGCAGTAGGATTTCCTAATGTCATCCTGGGAGGCGTTTTTTTGCAGTCCAAGGACTTTGTAGTAGTCCACCATCTCAGAAGTGAGGTGAGGCTGTTTGGAAGTCGCCTGGTGCCTCTCTCCCACTGAGGATTTGAAGCCTGGGGGTGTCCAGCTTCCAGACACAACTGGACACCCGCTGCCACTGTGTGCCTCGGGGACAGGCGGGCACTTGGATCACCGGAGTCAGAGCTTGACTGACTGGTCACCTCCGAGCTCCGGTACCCTCCCATCGAGTTTGGGCCCTGCCCCCCACCCCTGCGGGCAGGCCGCTCTCTGCCTCGTGGCTCGCCCCGCCGCCATCTCAGTGAGGCGTCTGCGCCACAGGAGCGTTTTCTCGGATGGCCGTCCCGATCGGCTCTCTGCCCCTCTCTCACGCTTCTACCTCCTCCCCGGTCGTCCCCGCAACCGTTCTCTTTCTCACATTTCCACGTGTTAGTAAAACCTAGCACTTCATCCCCGTTCCCGCCGGAGGTTTCTTCACCCGACTCTTCGTCTTCTAGTTCAGCTCCGTACCGGGGCGCACATGGCCATGGTCTCTCCCAGATTTCCTCAGGCTCTGGTTCCCCACCGGCATCCCTGGCTTCCTCAGCCGAGCCACCCCATAGCTTCCACAACTTTGATACGACCTTCACAAGGGTTTCCATCTTCCTTGTTGGTCCGGGAGCGTCCTCCCCGCCTGGCTGGTCCCGCCGCTCCGGCCGCCGTTCACCCGAATCCAGGAGTTTTCCCGGGTTTCGGCACCACTTGTTGCCTTCAGGAGGCATTGGCGACCTGGTTCAGGAACGGCATGGCGACCAACCCCAGGCCGCTCGGTCCATCGGCTCACAGACACCAATGTGGTGGATGGCAAATGGTGTTTATTGTCGAGTCCCATGGGGTTATATACCCGAGGCCCATAGCGTCACTTCTGCTTGCTTACAGCACAGGCCACACGCTACTGTCCATCAAGGGAGGGGCTCCACCTTTCCGTACAGCGCCACATCTTCCGGCCGCCAGACCCTAACTACCCACAATCACCCCTTGCTCCGCTCCGTCCTGTGCTGTTACAGGAGGCAAGCCCCGTAAAAATAGCCTTTTTTTGAAGCCTGTTGTTCCCAAGTCATGGGATTATGGCCTCAGAGGGGGCTCAGCCAACCACTGCTCGGCTGATCTGACTTCATTCTAGGGTGGAATGGGTTGTCACCGGCCTTGCATTTTCAAGCAGATGTTGTACATGTGTTGTAGTCACCCCATGGGACTGTGGTATGGCAGCTGTGATGTATGGCCTCATCAGCTCGGTTTCTGCCTGTACCTGCCCAAAGGTGGGATTTTCAGACACGTGCTGTGCTTTCGTGTGCCATCCAGGGAAGCGTTGTGCAGTCAGGTCATCTTATATCCATAGGGTGTTTCCTATGGCAGCAGCCATAGGAAAGCTGTTTGCAGTTTGGCTTCCCGCAATTGGGGAAGAGTGTTGATAAGTTGGACCAGGCTCAGGGAAGATCCATAAAACATAATTAAGGATTTGGGAAACATGCTCTGGAGTGATATATTCAGGGAATGTTTCTCGGTATTAAGAGGAAGTTCAACACCAGCTTCATCGTAGCCTCTGAGAACATGAATGGGAACAGACCTTCAGTGGTACAGGGATCTTCAGACTCTCAGGGAAGGAAGCTGGAAGGTGGCACTAGCAAATTCTAACTCCAAAAATGTTGCACATCCTTCAGCGTGAAGGCAGTAAATCACTGAAACATTCCTCATGTGGCCATTTTTAACCCCAGAGTGGACCTTTTACGTAAAATCCTGATTAGATTGCCATTAAGGTCTCTTCTGAATTTATAGCCAAGCCTAATGCTTCATGAAGAGCTTCACTTCCCTGTTAGTACCAAAATAAATGCCAAGGATGAAGATCTTTGACAACCTCAGCCTCTTTTCTATGTACTTTTTGGGTATTGGCCCCAGGTGCATACACATACACGGGGATGCTCAGTGCAGACAGGTTCAACCTGAGGAGTTGGGCTTTGCAGATCGAGTGTTTGGCTATCCTGCATCTGTTTCTGTTCCCTGCATTTTCCATTCCTGTGGGAAATAACAGATCTGCACAGGGAGTCGTTGCAGGAAGGAGGTCTCCAAGGAGGTGCCAGTAACAAGAACTCGGCTGTCTGTAACCCAGTCATAAACACCTACTGGTGGCAGCATGTGTTGCAGATCACTGCCCTCATTTCCATCATCCAGCACTTGGGGAAAGAGTTGAGAGCTGCCCATGTGAAAGACCATGTGTGCGGCGTACGAGCTGGCTGCTTTGCTTGAAATCTTCACCAAGGGGCTCATTCATTTTGTCTGGTGGACTTTTTTATGACCGTCTATGGGACTTGAGGGCGATTTGAGCTTGCCACCAAAATGTGCAGCAGCTCCTAGCCAGTGCCACCACGGTCTGTTTGCAGATGCTTGGCAGACATTTCGAGAGCAATTGCTGTTCCTGTTGTCTGCTACCCAGAAGGAAAAATGGGACATGAGAGGCAGGTGGGAGAGGCCTGTTGGAGGGTCCCAGGCCAGTTATCTGCTGCAGGGAGTGGGGCTGTGCACAGAAGGGAGGAGGCGACTCTGTCTTGGGCTGTCTCCTTGCAAAGCATCTCCTCCCCGAGCTGCTTTTGATGATGAGTGCCCATCTCAGACTGGCTGGCGCACCGGATTATCTGTCTTGGATTTAGCACATCCTACCCATCTGAAACATGGGGAATGGTTTTTCTCCTGTCATCCCAGGGCGGGGGACTCTCGCTGCCTGTCTGTCTGCTGCCTGCAGCAGGCGTCAGACGTTAGCAGCCATTCGACAGGGGCCACTGCTGTGAGCCAAAAGAGTTTGCGAGGAAGAGAGAAAGGGTTGAGGAGAGATGGGGAGAAAGGGAAATGAGAGAGACGTGCACACTTAAGTAACTAGACCCAAACTAGCCTGGCAGCCCCATCCCTAGAAACCAAGGCTTTGAAATGAGAAATGTTTTTCGTATCTTAAATCTCAAGTACAAACAATAAAAACCAGCCTAGACTGTGTTCTTTGAAGAGAAAGTACGAGTGACCTGAACAGTGGTTATCAGCAGCGTCATTAAGATAAACCCTTAACATGATTTAAAGCATCCGAAACTGAAGGCAGCACTTTCAGATACTAACAAAATGGTCTGACATTGGGGATGAAAATCAATAGTAATCTGATGTCACTAAAAATACTCAAAAGTGTCCCATGGCTGATGGAGGTGAGATTAGTGTAAATATTTGTATTCTAATCAGTGGCACGCGAGGGCTGGAGGCGGCCTTTCTGTCTATTTAATTAATGGAGTGGCTTTTTAAAAGGATCCTAATCATATGTGATTGTATCTGCTTATCAACATTTTTGCTAATTAGATGATATGGAGGCAGTCACTCTGCTAATTCCCTCATCCAAACAGCATATCCTGCACAGATAAAGTACAGTCTCTTTTTAATAAGAAACAATCATGAGACAGACTAACCTTAATGGTGCTTATTATCCGAGGATCTTTGGGATTTTCTCTTCTACCCACCCCCTCCTTCCTTTTCCTCCGGTCGCTGCTTCAGTATGCCAGATGGATGCGGATGTGGTGGTCCCTGTCCCCCCGTGCTCCAGGCACCACCACGTCCCCCTCTTCCCTCCCAGCCAGGCGTCGGGCTGGCGTCAGGCTGCGAGGGCAGGGGTGGTGAGCAGGTGGGGATGGGGAACAGAACAATGGGCACCCAGGGATGAAACGCACCGAGATTTGGTACCTGGACAGCTGGTGACCCCACGTCTGTGGCCCCCATCACTGATCTTGCTCCTGACACCCTAAAATGTCCTGGTCCAGAAAGGAGTGAGCATCTCTGAGATGTGGGCATTTTCTTCTATTTTTGTTGTTGCTGTTATAGTTTCTCCTGTTTTAAAAGGGACAGGGGATGAAGGGAGGTCTCCCTGAGTATTTTCTTGCCAGCCCCGTTGATCCCATGACAAGCCTGGGTTTCTTTTATCTAAAACATGAGCCGGAGACATTTGTTCCAAGTCCTTTGGCTATCCAAACAAACACAGGTCACACTTTGCCCCGCCAGTCGGGCTGTCATCGGCTGCCTGCCCCCAGGGCAGCTCCGCTCACCCCCTGCCTGCTCCCAAAGTCTGGCCAGGACGGGCACGTGAGCCTGACCTGGTGGGGGGACGGAGGGACCTGCTTGCCTTCAGGAAGAAGATCGGGACTGAAATTCTGTCAACCCAAGAGCATCTGGGCACACCGGAGGAAAGAAGGGGGTAGGTGGCTGGTGTTTAGTTTGGGGAGGTTGTTTGCTGTGTTTGCAGCTGTGGGTGTTGGGCAGAAAATGATTAAATGGTGTGGATTCCTGCCTCTGCAGGCTGGAGGGAGGGCCAGCGTGTCCTCAGTGCGGAGGCTGGCGGCAGGATGGGACGTGGGATGGGTTTGGGGAGCGCTGCCTGGGAGAGATTCCTGGGGGCTGGAAGACAGCTGAAGGAGGACCGAGGGAACTGGGTCTGGATCCAGTTTTTTGAGCCTTGAGGCTAAACCAAGGTTTGGGCAAGAGGATACAGATTCTGGGTGGTGGTTAAGGGCAGGAACCTCCCCAAAACTGCCATTTTTTGAGATAAGAATCCAAAGGGGAGGCCTGATCCTACTTATTGGAGTCAAGGGGCCTGGCATGTTTTTGATGTTACATCATGCCCAGGGCAAGACCTTACTCCAGTCTTGGAAAGCACGAGCAGTGATGTAACTTGTCTCCACGGACTCTGATCCCAGCAGAATTCAGAGCACTTCAGTTTCATTGCCTGGGTCATCTCCATGTGTCATCTACAATATTCTCACCCAGGCGTGGCTCCGCTGAGGTTGCACTCAGCGGTAGGGTTGGCCGGTCCCTCTGCTATTCCTGCTCTTTGGCACGGTCCCGAACCTCCCTTCCTCTCCATTCCACACTCAGGAATTCGTGCAACATTGACCGCCTTCCCGGAGCCGGTTCCCCTTGCCAGTTCCGAGGCTGAGGTCTACAGCTCGAAAAGAGGTGGGTCCTCTGGGCCACGGATTGCATCGCGAGCCGTTGAGTCCTGGGGCTTAACGAGGCACAGATAAGCAGCGTGCTTATCAGGAGCCCGCCGCCGGGGTACCTGCTCCAGCCCCATCGTGAGCGAACATGTTTTTACCACCCAGCTGCAGGGAGCCGGGAGCGCGCGCGCGGCCGGGCAGCGCGGCTCAGCCGGTGCGTGGTAACTCGTGAAGCCGCAGCGACTTTATCACTTCGCAACATCCATACATAGCCACAGCCTCGAGTCTTCTCAGGGGAAGAAAGGATGATGAGTTACTGTCCTGGGATTTTCGCTCTGTCTCCAGTCAGTGGGAAGTGGTATGCGGAGCATTCATTTAATAAACCAGAGGGGAAAAGCTGTAGATCAGCTTCTCATTATTTCAGTGCTGGCTCACGCCATCGCTTGGGCTTGTGCCTGACAGTTCAGTGTGTTATTTGAGGCCACTCGAGCATTCTGCAGAAATGATGCCACCCTCTTCTGAAAGCGTGGGGTTCGTCCAAGCAGGGAGGGCCTGCCTCCCTTAGTAGTTTTATCAGTGCCAATTCCATCTCAGTTTTAGGTCTCGGTGTGCAAGGAGGTGCCCACTTTGGAGATCGGTTCCTGCTGAGAGACACTGCTCCAGCAGGAAACCTTCTGGAGATGGTTCTTCTGGTCTAGTCCTCTGGAGTAAAGCAACTCTAGGTGGGTAAAAATGGACCCCTGGGGCTGGTTTGCAGGAGGTGGGGGGTCCCAAGTGGTGCAGGATTTAAATGGTGATGTGCACGTAGACCTGGTGCTCATCATTAAGGAAGGCAGCCCCCTCCTCTAGAAGATAGCAGAGATCGTAGGGGATCATTGCAAGTGTTTGCCCCATGGTATTTGTTGATGTCTTATAACTGTGTCCAGGAAGGGGGCCTAGGCAATCAAAGTGGCAGGTAGGGGACCAGTTGGTTACCAGTGGCTTTACTGGGAGTGGGGAACAGGAGGAGAGCCTACAATGAAGTTGTCAGGCGACAAGTTCTGGTTCTGGCTCTGCCTATGGGCTCCTCTTAGACAAGCTGTGGGGAACAGTGAAATTTCCACACTGCCTCAGCAAAGGTTTAGTCCAAGTTTATTGCCGAGATTAAAAGACTGGAGAATATAAATTGTAAATGTGATGACTTAAGAGCTCATAAATTCAGTATACAGCCCCATTCCAGAGAGCTCGAGAGCAGTGCAGACACGCTGCCTTGGGCTCACAAGTTCCTTGCTCCCGGTGCCCAAACCCATGTTCTCTGAAGAGCCCTTCTGCCCTGGCCTGGCTCCCAGGCACGTGTGCTTGTGAACACTCCTTCACACTGCCTATCCTCTCTGTGCACACTGTGGTTTTGCTGCCTACCTGCTGCTTCGGGCACCGGTGGCCGTGCTGGAGCAGCATTTGCCCAGTCTGCAGTCATGCAGCAAGCAGAGGTCTTGAAGGGGATGTCAAATCCCCCTGGAGGAGGGGTGGTCACCTCTCTCTGGAGACCCATTCGTGTTTACCTGGGGCCCAAGTGTCCTTGCCTACTGCTTGCAAGGTAGCTCCATGGTCTCACCCATGTTACAGGCCCATAAATACCTACAACAACAACAAGCAGGGTCTCGGCTCGGCAGGAAGGCAGAAGTATGCGAAAGAACGCGAGGAGCCGAATCTCCACGCACCAAACTCGGGAGGTGCAGAGCGTGGGGTGGGAAGCGTGCCCCAACCCCGAAAATTTTTTTTTTTTTTTTTTTTTTTTTTGGGGACTGTTAGTGTTAGGTTAGAGGTTGGACTCGATGATCTTGAGGTCTCTTCCAACCTAGAAATTCTGTGATTCTGTGATTCTATGTTCTCCTGAGTGGGCAGTGTGAAATGGTCTCGTGCACAGAGTCTGTTGAAGCAGCATTGCCTGTTTGAGCTGCCAGAGTGGGAAAGATGAAGGTTTCTACTAATCCACAGGTCCTTCCACCAGCTTTCTGCAAAGAGCTGGGTGGCCCCTGCGAGCAGAGGGCTGAGGAGAGCTCTGGGGAGGAGCAGTGAACATGCTGGGCTGTTTCTGGGGTGAGTTGTGATGAGGTTCCTACAGCTGGGTCATGGTTGTCACTGCGTTTGTCCAGTACAGATTTCCTTGAATAACTTGTTTAGGTGTAAACGCCTTTGGCATGATGTCTTTTCCCTGCTTTTCCAAGAACGACGGAGAGTTAGAAACTCTCCTGCTTCTAGGATTGTTCCAGAGCGTGCTTTTGGGCTGCGAGCCCTACCTGAAGCTGGGGTGGGGATGCAGCACCCTGTGCCAACCTGCTGTCCTGCTGGAGCAGAGCTTGTGAGCAAATCCTGGGGGCACACCAGAAGATGCCATGGGATGCCCTTCTCCCCAGTCAAGCAGATCAAGCATTCAGCACTTGGTAAGTATGAGGAGACGGGCTCAGCACATGGTTGCCGTAGACCTTTCGGTCCCCATCCTTGCACAAGCAGACCCTGACTGTGGTGGCACATGTGATACAGTGTCTTGCACTCGGTTTTGGAGTACTGCTGGTGTGTGTTCACCTTGCAGACCCTCTCTTATCTTATAAGCAACTGGGAAGGGGGAGGTTATGTTTTTTTTAACTTACTCTTAATCGCTGTAAAAAATACACTCCTACCCTGGCAGCGTTTGGGTTTGAGACCTTCTCCTCCTGCTTTCCTCCACCCAGACCCTTGCAAGCTTTGCAAATTTACCCAAAACATTTGCCACTCCTCAGCACCATGGTCCTGGTTCGTGTGACCCACAACGACTGCCCTTTCACAGACCTGGGTTCGGAATGAGAGGAGGAGAGAGAACACGTAACAGGCAAGAGCAGATGAAACGGAGATGAAGGAACAAGGGGGAGGAGGAATGCAGAGGTATGTGGCTGCATGTGGTGCTGTGTTTATGCACAAACAGGCACGCTTATCGACACCCAGATGTAAGCCTCTGCGCGTGGTGGTGTCTCCCGAGACAACAGGCGCCCCTCGGATGCTGCAGCGTTATCAGGTTGCAGCAGGCGTTCCTGTCCCATTGGGATCGCAGCCCCCGAGCCCACATGAGGCTCTTAGAGCCTCTCCCCCTGCCTCCTCATCACGGAGGGCAAGGGGGGACGCAGGTGTCACCCACGGGGGGCGTGGGAGCTGGCATTGTCCCTGTTCTATGGTGGAGACAACAGCAGGGTGATGGAGGCCTGGTCTCTCTGAGCACCCGCCTGGTTAAACATGGGGCAGATGATGCAGAATGGGCCAAAATGGTCATTTCACCCCATGAATTGGGCTGGACCTGGGCTGCAGCACGTGGGGGACACAGCACTGGCAGCCAGGGGCCTCCTCTCTTTTATTTTCTCCTGTGTTTTTAAGGAAGGCTCCAAGAGAAGAGAAAAAAAAAAGGAAAAAAAAAAAGGCATTTTAAATACCTTCTTCCTACCTCCACTTCCCAGCACCGAAACGCAATGACCACTAATCTTAACGTGGCTCATAACTGCAATAGCTCTGGAACTAATTAATTTGACGGTGCCGCGGCTGCCTGCCTCTTTCACCAAAATCAATTAAGGGAGCGCACGTTTCCCCTTCTCCTCCCTCCTCCCTCGGTTTTGCAGAGGGGAGATGGGGCAGCGGGGACCGGCGCCGCTTTCCCAGGGCTCCCGAGGGGTGGGAGCACAGGGAAGGGGGATTAGCGAGGTGGAGGGAGAGACGCCGCTTCTGCAAACAGGAGCGGGGACTCTCCCCAGGGGCAGGCGGCGGTGGGAAAGCTTGATTGCCACATGCAGCCACGCAGCACCGTGCTCCTCCCTCCCTCCGTCCCCGCTCCCCAAAGACCCCCCGTGAATTGTTGTTGCCTGCCGGTGCAGGGGGGGAGATCGGCCTTTGGGGTATTTTTGTATTTTTTTATTTGCGTGGGTCGTGAGCCCCCTCCAGAAGGGGCTGTGAGGGAGAGGTGGGTGGGAATTTTGGTGCCGTTGCCTTGCCAAGCGAGGGGAGAGGTGTTGCTTAAAGAGGAGCCGGTGAGGAATCTCAGGAGGTGAATTTTGTGTTTTGTGGGAGACAGTGGTTGGAATCAATGCAGTTTTGGAGGCTCCTGGCCTTGGAGGCATAAAACCAGGCTGGGGAATGGAGCCAGTGGGGCTGTGGCTGCCCTGGGCTGGGGGCACGGTGTGAGGCTCTGTAACAGCACCACACCATTTCCCCCAAAAAACAGCAAGGGCAGCATCCCCAGACAAACACCTTCCGTCCATGCTCATTCTTCTGTCTCCATTTCTGGGTCTGGGGGAGGTGGGTCAAGCGGTGGCAGGGCTCTGCAAGCATGCAGCACCCCAGAAAGACCCCTTCTGGAATGGGAGGCAACCATCCCCAGGACACAGTGCTGAGACACCTGGGCAAACCGGGTAGAACCTCCCGAGCATTATTTCTGTAAAAGCCTCCATTTGGCCCATATCACCTCCTCAGATCTCTATTGAAATGCCCTTCTATTAATAAATAACTCTATTCTCCATTACCCCACGTCCACTGCTCACGTTGAAGCAACTGGGAATTTGGGTTTGGTTTTTATAGGCATCAGAAATAGATTTTTATCTTTGTCCAGGGCTCTCCCTCCACCTCCCCAACCTTTGTTCTATTACACTGAGCACAGCAGCGGCTGGAAGCATCTCTCCCTGGCGTTGGGCAAGGGAGGACGGGTGTCGAAAGAGCCAGGTCCTTCCCTGTGCGCTGGTGATCTGCGAGCACATCTCCGTAACATGGTGTAAAGCACACGAGAACACGAGGAAGAAATTTTGAATGAGGTATATTTAAGAAATTCTGTATCTGAAGTGGTTGGTTCTCAAGGCTTTTTTGGCTTGTTTTTTTCTGTGAGAGGAAAGTGGTTTGGCTTGGGAAATACCTATAAGGAAACTTCCTTGAATGCAGCCATGATACCGAGCCACCGCATGAGTGTGGGGAAGGTTTTCTTTTTTTAAACTGCGGGTTGCAAACATTCCCTGGAAAATATTTGAGTTTTGAAGTGCATGGGTTGGTCGTGATTGGGAAGGAAAGTCACAGGGCAGTGTTTCTATCCCCGGGTTGGATGGGAGCGCAGTTTCTGGCAGGGAAATCGGTGCATGTAAATTAGGGTTGTGGTTTCCATGAATACTATCATATATGGATTTGAGGCTGATTTTCCAAGAGCAGTCATGCCAGGAAAACTTGCGCTCTCACATCACCCCAGGCAGCAAACACAAGTGACACAAACATGGTGAGGACGAGTTCCTTTACAACTGCAACTGCTAAAGAAGAAGAAGAAAAAAAAAAAGTATTCATAAAATCTGCTTTCCCTGCTGTTCCTCCTCCCCTCCCAAATATGCCAGAGCGAGCTTCGAGGTTTGGCACCCGTCAGCGTGCGGCAGCACGGCACCGAGGGGATCGGCGCCGCGGCCGGCGCGCACCTGGGCGCAGGTAAGGCTGCGGCAGGGTGGGGGCTGGATTCCTTCCCGGCCCCTCTCGGCAAACAGCTCCTGCCCCGCAGCCCTGCGTGCCTTCGCCCTTATCTCCCCGCGCGAGGCACTGTGATAAGTGTTGTTGGCTGGGAGTTATGCATCCCCTTCGAAGGCGCGCGCATGCAAAATATGCTCCTCTGCTCGAAATGGGAGACCTCTTGCTACAGGGCTTAAAGATATTTCTTCAAGAAAAAAAGAAAATAAATCTATAAGAAAGTAGAAGTGTGTTAACAAATAGCGATGGTAATAGTGCTGGTTCTGCATGGACCTTGTCTACGTTACCACAAGCAACTAACCACAGTTGGTTTCTTAAGAGGTAAATATAGTTTTCTCCCTGTGGGGATGGCTAAACCAAGGCACACAGCAGTGACCCTCTGCAGTCAGCAGAGGAGAAAATATCTGGAAAAGTGACACACGGGGAGCTCCAGCTGTGACACGGGGCCTCTGGAGCACAGCCTCCACCATGGGCATGACTCGGCCCCCTTGGTCCCTTGCCGTCCTTGTCCCAGCAGCAGCCTTCATCCCCATGGGATGCAGCATTGGTCCAACCTGAACAGCACACGGCAGCAATCAGCTGGGATCAGGCTTTCAGAGCTCAGAAGATGCCACGACCTCCTTCCGGGTGTTCACCAAACCCCTTCTGGTTCACCGCTGCTGTCATTTTAAACCCATTTCTTTCCAAGGAATGACTCAGCTCCAGAAAGGAAGGCAGTTATTTTATTTTCTGGGCTCGCAAGGAAAATCTGATGATATATAAAGGGATAAGAGCTCCGTTGTATCTCCCTGACCTCCAGTGCTGGAAGAAGCAATTCCCCCAGCTGTGGCACATCTCCTGTTTTATTAGGCTTGCACATGGGCTAGCTCGCTGCATCAGCCATCCCATTTTCCACCCGTGCTCTTAGTGGCCCAGACTAAACCTCTGCAAAGTGCCCAGCCAGCTGGACGTGGAAACCTCCGGACCCAGGCAGTGCTTTCCCATCTCTGTGCCCTGTCCCCATCTGCCCCCCCAAGGGGCCATGGGACAGGGGTTTTTGGGGGAAGCGAACCCCAGCTTCTGTCCCGCATTTCAACTTCCGCGGCCGACATCAAACACATCGCTGCAGCCTGAGCCCCCACGGGCCTGATGGAGGAGCAAAAAGAGAGGGCTGGAGGCAGCAGATCCTAATCTTTATTAAATAAGAACAAAGCTTATGCCGGCTAATGAGAAAAACAAACCGATGAAAGATCCGGCAAGCTCCTCAGAAGGACACAAAGAAATTCTCTCTGAACGAGAGCATGCTAAAAATATTCCCGAATATTTATTTTGCTGTCGGTGGCTTCACAGGCTCCAGATTTGATGCTGCTGCTTCAGGGATTGGCATGGCCATGACAGCGATTTTGGAGCAGGGTGCTCCACAACATGCAGCATCCAGAGCTGTGGCAGGGACAGCCGGGATGTGATGGCAGTCGGTCCCTGCATGCCACCGTTCCTGCGAGGACAACGGGGTATTACCATCATTTTGTGTTCACCATCCTCTTTGGGGCCCCTGTAAGGGGCAGAGAGGCTATGGGCAATTTCTCCACTCTTGCTCCCTTTCTAGATATGGGTCCCTGAGCGTGGGGTGCTGAGGCGCACACTGATGCTGAGCACCTTCTGAGTCCCAGCATCAGGGACAGCTGGCACAAACTGGGAGCACTGGTGGCCTTGTGCAGCTGGAGCCCATGATGTGCCCCAGAGCATCCCATGACTGCGGGGCCTTGGCAGCTCTGTCTCGCCCCACGGCCTGTGCAGAGGCTGCAATCAAACCCCAAACCGCATGGAGTTGGCTGGATAGCACATGTACCATAACGCTGGGGGGCAGCTGTGGGGGCTGCTCAGAAATTCCTCACACGCCTCACAACCAGCCCCCAACCCCATCTGGGCTGAGCCCCACACCTCGGCCCTGCCCGCCCTGAATTTGGGTGAAAATATCGCTTCTGAAAGCAAAAGCGAGGCAGCGATGAGGCCTGCACTTCTGCCTCTGCCATTGCAGGCCGTGAAACCTCAGCCTCTGCTCTTTTAATGTCCTGTGGCTGAACTTGCTGCCAGCGGGTCAAGGGGAACGTAATTCACTCGGGCTTTGATGCATTTGATACAGTTCGGTGCGAGAAGTGAGGGGGGCGAGGAGGGAAGGACGGGATGAGCAGGGCGATGCCGGAGCCCTCTGCGAGCCTGGGGGGCTCAGCCACAACCAGGGGGGCTCTGGCTGGAGGGGGAGCTCCGCACCCTGGGATCTGTGTGGGCGTTTGTCTGCAGGCCCTGTCTTATCTCCTCCTGTGATGAGCAGATCGGGGAGGGGAGAGCAGCGTGTGTGCTCTGCATTGCCTGGAGAGGCCTCCTAATGCTCAGGCAGGGCCAGGGCAGGGGCACAGCTCCCTTCTCCTGGCAGCTCTCATCCCATTTGCATTTCCCCAACGCCCTCCTTGTCTCTAAGCTGCGTCCTGAGCCCTCCCTGCAGGCCTTTCCCACAGGAAGGGGGCGGCTGGATGAGCCCACCTCGTACCATGGGGGCTTTTTTGGCACAAGAAAGCTGAGGGTACCGATGGCCCGGCTGGCACCAGAGCATGGGCATGGGCTAGTTGTGCAAACCCCATAACGCTGTAACCCCTCCGCCTACCCCTTCCTGTAAAAGTGACCAGAGGCAGCTGGGGCCCACGTGCCTTTCCGTGTGGGTTTTCTATAGGTACCGGGGTCGTGTGGTGGGCACTGAGGTAAAGCAGGAGCCGGCAGCTTTTGCAAACAGCCCCTCCTGATGGCAAGGCTTTTGGGCTGCATCCTGCACCTCGCTGCGAGCGCTGGGCCAGAGACTGATGCTTCCCGGCACAGGTTGTTTCCCCCCTTGTGTTTTTTGTTTGTTTGTTGGGTTTTGTGATTCATTTATCAGGGAGGGGAAACAGAGGAAAAGGGCAACATCCCCTTGTGAGAACCGAGGTGCTCCAGGTTTTGTCTTGTTGACCGGCTGGTGTTTACCAGGAGGAAGCGAAGCGATGTGGCTGCTGCGGTTTCGGTTCTCACTCCACCTCGCTGCTGAGAAACCGGACCCGTGGTTTGCTTGCGGTAGAGGGGAGAGGAAAGGTGGTCCTTGGAGCAGACCTGCCCCAGGGGGGCTCTCCCTGCCCTGCAGGGGGGCTGGCAGCGCTGCAGGGGGCTTGGGAAGCAAGGAGGGAAAACCAGGACAGCCCTGCAAGCTCCGCTCCGGTGCATTAATATTCAGCGCAGAGCAAGGGGTGTAAATTCACTGCTATCTCTTCAGAGTTTGCCGTTTATGCCGTTCATTTCACATAGATGTCACTACTGCCTTATGAGCACTCCTCCAAGCCAGCCGCTTAAATGGACCCAGTGCATTATAGTAATGGAGTAACTGTATAAAAACAATGAAATCCAATCTCTTTAAACTGATTTGATGTCTGCCTGAACCACAACATTTCCTGCTAATGGCTTCCTTCATTTTGTAACCGTGATCTCCACCTGATCAGATTACAGCTGTTTTTAATTACAAAGCTAATAGAGTTTGTAGGCAGTGTCGGGCAGACGGCGCATGCCCGGGGCGGAGGGGAGCCAGCAGGGGCTTGGGGTGGCCGTGCTGACACGCTCAGCCCCTCGAGCCGACTGTCACAACACGGGGAGTGGGGGGCAGCCCAGAGGGATGGCGAGAGGTTTCAGCATGGAGCCAGCTCTGTGCAACAGCAGGCAGCCAGGGCTGAGCTCCTGCTCGATGCTCAGGGTGCCCGGGAGATTTGTGGTGCTCCAAGGTTGTGGGCAAAGGTTGTAGGAGAAGGGCAGAGCCAGTTTTTTGTGATGATGTGGTGTGAAAAGAGCAAGGAAAGAGGAAAAAAAAAAAAAACGTAAAGAAAAGAACAAAAAGCAAAATAGGGATGTTGGTGCTCTGCAACTGATGGGGCAGGAAAGAGCATTGCGAACGACTGACAGTGGAAAAAGCCCTCGAGATTGATGTCTTTCTTATGGGATGGTGCAGTCAGCTGCAGGGTCGGCTTCATCTGCCTCAGCCCGGGCAGCGAAGCCCCGGAGAGCATCTGCATGGCTCAGCTCAGTCCCTGTGGCCTTGTTTTGTCCAGTGGTTCGTTTGAGTATTGATTGCTCCATCTCCTTGGATTAGGGGCATGGATCACAGTAGCTGTGGGGAGAGCTGTTCCCAAGTGATGCTGGCCAGGGACTTCTGATGCCAAGGAGAAAAAAAACAAAACAACAGTGATGTGTTAGAGATGGTGGTGGGATGGTGGGAAGCTTGTGCCCCTGCATGCTGCTCACTTCGCCCTACTACTGAGGATGCTCATCCCCTGCTGTCACAACACCAGAGCCTTGCCAGGTGAGACACCTCCTTGTAAATGATTTGGAGTCCGCATCAAGAGCACATCAATTATGTACCCTGAGACCTAATTATTTAGCTTGACAGGAGTCTCTCGCCTTAATTTCATTGTCTTTTCAGTCTCCCCTTTCACAACAGAGCTGGGGATGATCTGCTAGGCATGGTGCATCATCATGTGTTTCTACTCCTTCCCAGTATCACTCAAGCTCAGCTGTTTTCCCCTTTCCCTTGATGAATGAGGAAAACAAGCCCCAGATGTGATGCTGGGGCCTGGTGAGGATCGGGGCTGTGTGCCTGCTGCCATGCTCTGCCCTCGGTTGTGCTGGGCACTGCACTCTACTTCTGGCCTGGCACTGCGTGAACCTGGGGAGCTTTGGGGGATGTATTGTAGTGAGCTGGGGTGAGCATTTGTGGCATATGGTCTTTTTTTCCACCTGGTCACCCACCAGCAGCCCGGATTGGGATGATGCTGAAAGCCCTCACCAGCCTTGCCAGCACTTCTCCCCTTTCCCCCCTTCTCCTCCTTCCACCTCTTCCTTCATCTGAACTTTTCAACCCTGTGCCTGGTGAAGATTTTTACAGTAACTTAAGCCTTTGAAAACTCTTAATGCTGTGCCGTTTTCACAGAGACACAGACAGGCACTGCCAAAATGCTGAGCACCCAGAGCCAGACACACATGGACGTGACCACGCCATGGGCAGAGCACGGGCAAGGCTCACGCTCGGCAGGATTTCCTCTCCGTGCTATCTCCTCACTGTGTCTTGGTATGTCTTTGAATTTATTTATTTTTCAAGCCTTAAAACTACCTTTTCCTAAAATAAATAAATGGAACTAATACCAGGAGCCTAGGATTTTAAAGCAACCCTACAATAACAAAGCGGGGCGTGCAGATCAGTTGTCACCAGCAACCGTGCAATAACAAAATAACACACGCAGCCCCACGCAACGGTAAGGCAACCACCGTGTGCTTGGGAGAGAGGAAATATATTTTTCCAGTGCCGAGCTTAACAAGACATTGTCAGGCTTAACAGAACAAGACGTTGTTGTGCAGTAAATTTGGGGCTCAGGAGGGGGCTGTAGGAACTAAAACACCTTGAGCAACGTGACTTTGGTGTCACGCACGAGGCAGGGTCGTTGGCCACGCAGCAAACGCTGCTTCATCAGCACGGTTTTAATAGCTTGGCAGAGGAAAAGAAAGCGAGGTTTTGTGATGAAACAGGAAGCTTCCTTGAGTCCTGGAGCCTTTGAAGAATTGTCAAAGGAATGAGAAGGCTGGATGTTTGAAATGGCTCCGGGTTGTGGGGCCGGAGGGGGCAGGGGGACACGGGAGAGAGGCAGTGAGCCCAGACCTTCCCAAGTCCCACACTCTGATCTTTGTTCCCCTTTTTTTAATTATTTGAGGCTTTTTCGTTGCCTTTTTTTTTTCTTCTTCTTCTTTGGACACACACACACGCGCTCTCTGAGGTTAGCAGGAGTTTTCTCAACACAAGCCCCAGTCCTTGTCGGCAGGACCCGCCTGCGGAGCGGCGGCAGGAGCAGCCCTGCCATCCAGGCTCTGCTCGCGCCTGATGCAAAACCACGTGTTTGAGGAAGTGTTTCTGGAGTTTTGAAAAGGTCTGGTTAGGTTTTTTTTTTTTAAATTTTTTTTTTTTTTTAATTTATTTTTGCCCCTTCTATTTTTTGTGCACGACACTGCTGAGTGGCTGCAGGAGCAGCTGGGTGATGCCTCCTGGTCCTCGGTCAGCTGAGAGTCACCAAAGGCAATCCCCGTATGATTTCTGACCCATTTTCTCAGCATTTAAAATACAAACCTACCAAAAAAGCATGGTTCAGTGGTTTAGCTGTATAACTGGAGGGAATCAGGTTGCCACAAAACTACCAAAGAGAGGCTGGTGAGGGCTGAGCTCAGAGGCACGTTGCGTGGCTCTCAAGGGAACCAGCCAGGAGACCAGGACCAGCCTCAAGCCAGCTGAAGGCAGGAGCTGGGGAGGATGCCCAAATTTATGACAGCATCGCAGGGATGCCTGCGGACAGCAGGGGATGAGGCTCATTTCCTTGCAAAATCCAGAGCGGGGAGGACCAGCTCCATGGGAAGGGGGCTCTGCCCTTCCCTAGGCGAAAGCTGCTGGTGATGGGCTGCCTTTCCCCTCGCAGGGTGCCCTTCCCAGTGCCCAGAAATGGCAAGGCGTGAGCGCAGGGCGGCCGAGAGGGAGCACCCAGCTGCCTGGCACAGAGGGCGAGCCTGGCTAAGGGAGCCCGCAGGAAGAGCCAAGAGACTGTCATGACACTGAGCTCTCCTCCGTGCTAATTGTACGCTTGGGACCAAATTTAGCCTGGTGCAACTCTGCTGAAGTCACCAGGGATTAATTTGGCCTCTGGTGGCTCCATTGTTTTAGCTAAATGAGTCAGAAGAAGCAGCCTATTCTTATCTGTGCACAGTGGGGCGGTGACAGTAATGGCTCGGCGAGGCAGACCCCAAAAGCAGCGCGGCTCGGACCTGGGATCGGGGCTACCATGAGCCGAATGGGGCTGCAAGAGGAAATGTTTTGACGTTTGGGTTATAGATGGAGGCAGGCTCGGTGTGGGCGCGCTGGCGGCGCTCACCGCCGCTGCAGGCGGAGGGGAAGGAGGCTGTCAGGTTCCCTGAATATTCGGCGGTGCCGGTTGGAGTTCCTCAATTCTTCGGCTGCCGGAGAGGGAAGCTGTGGCTCTGGAAGGGGCATGTGGTGTCGAAGGGGACTTCACACTGCTTCCCAGCCCAGCAAGAAAGGGAGCCCTGGGCTGGAAACAGCCAAAAAGCACCGGCTGCATCCCTTGGCTGCCCGTGCATCCGCTGGGTACAGGGCTCACACAGAGCTGGAGGTGTCCTGAGCAAAAGTGTCAGCTGCTGGCCCAAGGTTTGGTGTGTTTCTGAGCTCCCTCAATTTCTGAAAAATTCAAGATGAGTTGGGAAGTTGTGTTTTTTTTTTTTTTTCTGCACCATGTAGGGTGCAAGCTGTTTGCAAGCAGAGAGGGATTTCCTGGATGTGCTGCAGGGGCCGCAGGCCTTGGGCAGCTGACATCCAGCCTTGCAGGAGGCTTTGGAGAGGGAAGGTGGCGCAGAGCAGGGCATGGCAGTGGGGCTGCAGACCCCTGCCCGTGCCCCACCTCCCCATTCTGTGCTGTGCCCCCTCAGCACATAACCACAAAGCCTTCAGTCTCTTTGGCCGTCAACCCAACCATGGCTGAATATGCTTTAAAAAGAGCCCAAAATGACACCAGGTGGAAAGCGGGGTGCTGCAGTGGGTGCATCCCCAGGGCTGTGCAGGGAGCGGGGCCGCAGCGCTATGCAGGAGGCTCTGACCCTGCCCAGGTAACTACATAATGAGCCTCTTGGAATTGCTCCCATCCCTGCCAAAGGGGTGGGCTCGGGGGATGCTTTTGTTTGCAGTAATGAACCTGTAATTATGCTGCATTTCTTGGTTTTAGCCGCATTTTTTGCGTGTGTGCTGTTCTCTTTGTATTGACAGATTTATGGCTGGGATACCCCGCTGCACCCCGGCCGCGCGGCACTCGGCGGAGACCGGCTGACTGTCGTCTCAGCCAGGCACAGGGTGGGGGCACGGGGCCCTTGCACTGCCTCAGCCCCCGAAGGGTTAAATAAATACGTTAGAATTAATAAAAACGGCAGAGGCGCCACCTCTCCCAAAGCCACTGCTTTCAACAAGGTTAGGGGAAAAAAAAATCTTTTGAGCTCCAGGTGAATTAAGGGAAGAAGGGGAGGGGGGAAAAGTAGGGAACGATTAAAGTGCATAAATAAATAAATAACATACACCAGATTTCAGCTCCGAGGCGCTCAATAAAATTACACTTTGAAATGCAAGGATTAAGCAGGGTAGGTGACAAGGTAACTTTGTTAACAGGCTAATCTCTCGCCTTAACAGAGACAGGGGATTTACATGTGACTGCACAAAACTGCTTTATGGTCTCTTTTTCCAGCTGGAGATGGTAGGAAGGGGGCAGGATGAGATGGGACAGGGCTGGATGCCATTTGTAAGATGGGCTTAAACTGCCTTTTTTTTTTTTTCTTCTTCTTCTTTAAAGCGAGTCTGCAAGGAAATGTGTCGCCAATAATCAGCTGTCTCCAAACAGTTCAGGTAGGCAGTGCTGAAGATGTCACGGGATGATGAATAACTGGCTAAAAGCATTGGTGGTGCCATTTTGTCCTGGATGGTTTTATCTGCCTTCTTTAAAAAAAAAAAAAAAAAAAAAAAAAAAAGGCAGCGTGGGCTATTCAGTACGTTATATCAGGACTTCTTTTGCCAAGAGCCTCCTGTCTAAATTTCAGCATTTCTTCACCCAGGGATGTATGAAATCAAAATCCAGGTGACTTTTTTTTTTTTTTTTTTTTTTTTTTCTCAAATGGCCCCTCTGTTCTTTGTGTGAAAAGGGGAAAAAAGAAAAAAAAAAAAGTGCTTGGTTTCTTTAAATTTATGCCCATTACTAAAATGTGATGGTGGTGGGAGGATGATCCTGACATGAGACCTGGGTCTACCAGCATGGGTTTCTTCACCCAAACCCCACAGTGCCCACCCCAGTGTGCCATGGTCCTGCTTCCCCTCCACGCCAGGCACTGAGCCCCTTGCTTTGCCTTTTTGCTCTCTGAGCATGGCTCTCCAGCACCGACTGTTAAACCACCCATGGTGAAGCAGGGGGAGATGGGGGGAGCCGTCAGAAGTTCAGACCTTCTCCAGGCTTCTTTGTCTCTGGATAAAAATGACAATGAGAAAGCCATCTCCTCCATAATCTTCATTTGAAATCCAACAGAAAGCAGCAGGACGAGCATGTTCTCTGGTTTTAAATAGCTCTGGTGAAAGTATTTATCATGCTGTTTTCATTGCAGCATTGCTGGGGCGTTTGTGCTGGCTGCGGGTGGAAGGACTGATCTTGGAAGGAAACTCCATGTGAAATCCCCAGCCTGCTCTGCAGACGCACGTGCTGGGCTATTTCTGGACCAGCTTTCAGCTGCCACAGGTGGGTGAAGGTGGTCTTGGCCAGGAGGGCACAGGGACTGAGGTTTCAGTGTGGGAAACTGTGCTCCCCCCAAACAGAGAGCGATGCCTCTCTGGATGCCTGGTTGCCTGTGCAGCAGGGGAAAGGTGTTTTCACCCACCAGGGCTGTGCACCTCAACCAAGTGTGACTTTTTAAACATTTTCCAAACCATCAGCCCAAAGAGTCTTCTAACACTGCGAAAAAAAAAAAAAAAAAATGATGTGGTCGAGCATTTCCCCTCCGCCTCCCAACCTCAGGGTTATGGCCGTTCCCATGCTTCGAGCCACCTTTGCAGCAAGGCGTGTGTAAAGGCTCGGCAGCGTGTGTCCCCAAAATGTCCCACAGGGCAGCTTGTGGGTGACACAAAAACGTGTCCCCTCGCTGCTGCCACCAGGCCGCGTGGCTGCCGTGTGCCAGGGCTCCTCCGAGGTGCCCTCTGTAAATAGGGGCAGGCTGCTGGCTCTGAGCACCCCGAGCGCTTTCCCAGCCACAAATGAAACAGAAAGCATGAACCGCCTGCTCTAAACATCACGCACAGTCCCAGCTCTGAAGTTTCTCCATCGTTTGGGCATTAAGACCTATTCAAACCCAGCAGCAGACACTTATTCTGTGCAGGAATCTGACCAATTGTTTCTCTTCCCTCTCTTGTCCTTATACCTTAAATCATTTTGACCTTTAATTGGCCCTAATTTGCCCACAGACGGCCCTGGGACCCTTCAACACATTTGCTTGTAATTGGGTCCCTTTGTTATTTTTCCAGAGAGCCGCTGCTGGTTGTTTCTTTTTGAAAACACTGCGGCGTGTCATTGAGAGCGGGGCCGCTTTTAAATGAGCCCTGCTGGGGGCCAGGAGAGCCCTGTGAAAAGCCCAGCAGAGAGAGACAGGGCTATCTAAACGCAATTATCATATCACTGTGAAAACGTGAGACCAGCCCCAGCTTAAGCAAACACCGCCCGCCCCTCTGCTGCCATCCCACCAGGCCGGGATGTGGCTCGCCAGTGCCTTGGCTTTGGTGGTGCTTTGGCTTTGGCCATTCTGCTTAAATCCACCTCGTTTCGGGGCGTTGGTTTGCAAACATGTCACTCTGGTGCAGATCTAGGGAGAAATGGGAAAGTCTGGGAGAAAAGCTGGAAAAAAAATCAGCTCTGCTGGCGAGCAAATGAACCAGCGCGTCCCGGCTCAGGCCCTGCGCGCTATTAATCCGGCTGTGGCCACAGCTTGCCCCTAGCCCCGCTCATAATGTCATCAAGATCTTAACTGTCCAAAGTGAAGTTATAACAGCGAGGGATAATACCGCAGCCAGATAGCATCTGCACTGCCTCCTGCGCTAATGGACGGTTGTTCTGTAACCGAGCCTCCCAGCTCCGCCAGCCCTGCAGCACGGAGACCTCGCTTTAATATTCGCTCCATGCAGACCTTAAAATCGAGTTAAGTTGCAGTGCTGTCAAACCTCTGACCACGGGCTGCTGTGCCGACGGTCTTCGTGTCACCAGCTGAGATCGAAGCTGGTGCCCAAGCAGCCAGGAGCTGCCGTGTGAAATCATTTTTAGTACCAGATCCCAAATAAGTTTGCTTTCCGTGGCTTAAAGCATCCATGCGGACAGCACCCATGGACTGGGTTAGCAAATTACATCTTGCATTGTACAGAAAATTGAGTGAGCATGGGCTAGCAAAAGCTAAGGCTGTGTTTCTGCCCTGCAGAGGGGAGATTTGTACCAGCTCAGCCTGTGTGCAGCTCCAGCAAGGAAAAGATGCTGGTCTCCGTGAGTGTGTTCAGACACACGATCCTTCCCCTCCAGCTCTGAGTGCCCAGGATTCTTGCATATGTAAATGTTTGTAGAGTCAGGGCTTTGTTTGTATTGCCTGTTTACTAATCTAAGTTTATATTTAAGCTTCTGATTTTTGGTTCATTTTTTTTTTTTAATGGTTCATTTCTTTTAATCCATCCATAGTTTTAAGGAAAGGTTTTTCATTTTGTTTTTAGGCAGATATCTGAAATGTTCCTTGTGAGTTCAGTGGTCAGGCTTAGGGTCTCCAGTTTTGAGCAGTGATGGAGAATGAGAACTGTGCTGTACACAGACTTATCAACCCATCCCTGTTCCTGACACTTCTTTGTCCCAAGTGCTGCCAGGACATGCTGCCTCGATCTCAGCATCCCCCGTGCCAGACCTGTTTTATAGGTCTGTGCTCAGTGCTGACTCTGCAAGCTGAGCCTCTGCCCTGCCTTCAAACAGGGCAAGCGCAACAGGGCACACCTGCATCTTCCAGCAATTCCTCCAAGCCCCAAAGCCTTCCTGGAGGCTTGGACAGAACCAAACCATCATATTGGGATAGTAGTCTCTAGGAAGGGGATGTCTGTGCCTTGGAAGCCCTCTGACAGCACTGCCTTGGTGTGATCCGGGTTACCCTCACTGGTAGGGCACGGCAGCATGGGATTTTGTTTTCTCCATGCTCTGACTGCTGTGTGTGGAGGAGCAGAAGCCATTGAGTCTCAAGGCTGTCAGTCTAAAAAACTCTTTCAACAATGCCCTTTTTTATATTTAAAAAAAAAAAAAAAATCATATTTTTTCCAGAATACTCAGTGATGAATTTGGGGAAGCTGGTGGGAGGCCAAGGAGCTCCAGCAGAGTGGAAGTTGGGTGACATTCCTGGGAGTGACCAGGGACGCTTACAAAGCCATCCCCCCATCCCTCCCAGCTGCCAGAGCAGAGCCAGAGCCTTGGCGGGCAGGGGAGCCGCTGCCTCCTTTCCTTGCAGCCAGATAAAGAGGACAGACTCTCCTTTTTCAGCCCATTCTGCTCACACAATGGGAGAAGGGGATCAGCGCCAAAATTACAAGTGTGAGCCCTTAATGCATCAGGTTGAACAATGGGCCTCGGAGGCGTCTGCCCTGTCGGAGGAGCAGTACAGCTAGTTCTGACTACCCAGGCCATGGAAAAAAACCTCATTGTCCCGGCGAAACGCTCCCCAGAATGAAAACACCCTCCCCCTCTTTCTTCAGCTTCCTAATGGGAAGCAAAATAACAAACCGGGCCCACAATTAAACAAACATGCCACTAACCGAGCAGAGCTCAAGTGTAACAGATGTTGTTGCAGTTGGACCAGGCTGGGGGCCGGCAGCAAGCCGTGCTGGCTGCGGTTCCCAGGACGTGGTGGCTGCAAGGGTTTCGATGCCGTGCCACGGCCTTCTCCATCCATTGATCTTTTCTCCATCCATTGATCTTTCCTCCTTTTCCTCCAGTGCACCTTTTCCTTGCTCTCCTCCTCCTCTCGGCGCATCCCTTCTGCTCATCCTGCCCGACCGCCCCAGTTTCAGCTTCATGTCTTGTTCATTGCAGATGATGATTTGATTTTCTTTTTTTTAACACTCAAAAACACAAATGGGATTTTGGAATATCTCAAGAGAGAGGGCAAAGGCACTTCAATGGACTTGTTAGGTCATCTGAGTAGGGGAGAAGCTAATTATTTTTCTACAATTATTTTTTCTTGTACTGCAGGCCAGCTCTGTCCCCTCACTGGCACGCTGTCCCCACGAGGATGCTTGCTGCCAATTCCCAGGTCCCTGCATCCTTCCAAGCCCAGCAGCTGACTCAGGTTTTGCTGCAGGACTGGAGCTGGGCACATGTGGGATCCCCCCTAGAGCATTGCTGCTAGGCACAGGAGGGAGCAGGAATGCACCTGTACCTGCAGACCTGGCCTTTTGCCCCTCAGTTTTCCACTTAAAAACCTATTCCACCTAATTTGCCAGTGCTGGTTTTGCTGGGCTAACAAGTTTTCCTCCCCAAAATCATGGGCATCTCTGTAATACAAGAGATTTAGTGTTGCAGAGGTGAGAGATGGCTGAAGAAGGGCAAGTAAAAGGGAAGCTGTATCCTTCTTTCTGTATTTAGCTGAATCCATCTTCTCTGTGGCTTCACAGCTCCATGATGGGCTCTCTGAGGATTAAGGTCCCAAAGTCCCCACTTGGCATCAATTGATGCTTCTGCTTTGCTGGAAACTCTTCCCTCGAACTCCATAGCAAAGGAGCCAAAATAATTTGGGACCTCCTGGAGCCAGAGTCTGGTTGGCCTTGCTTGCTGCCCTGCAGAGCTGTGACAGCAGGGCCATATGCCGCTGGAGGAACCAGAGGGACTTGGTTCAGAGAAGAGAGCCCTGCAGGGTTGGGTACAGTCTGTGGGTCAAGTCTTTGGGTCAATCGCTGGACCAAAAGCATTAGGTCCAGAGATCCTGACCACACCAACCTCCTTCTTGCCATCTGGGAGCCGTGGTCACCACCACCTGGCTTGTTTGGAAGAGGCACATCAGGCTGCGATGTGGGTCACCTACGTATGTGCACGTTTATGGCTTATCTTTTGTTCTGCTTGCTCCTGCCAGCACAAGGACCTGTGCAGCAGGGTTTTGCCTTGCCTTGGACTGTTGTAGCACAGCGACTTCTGCAACTATTATTAGAAGCTTGGAGACATAAGCAAAGTTACTTCTCTTTCTCCTTCAAGCAGGGGAGCTGGAAGAAGTGGGGAGAGCCCAGAAATCCTGCCTGAGCTGTCTCAGAAGGACTGGACTAGCCTGAAGGCCACCAAAGGCACAGCCCAGCAGCACAATTTGGGACACAGGTATCCCACACCCAGCATCCAGCAGTGCTGGGGGGTAGATCCAGGTAAGCAGCTCAGTGGGAAGCCTCACTCGGCTCAGGTTTACCCGTTTTGCTAGGTGAAAAAAACAAGGTCAATGTCCTGGTGCTTCAGCCCATGGAGGCACGGAAGGAAAATCACAGCAAAGCCAGCCAGCCACATATCGGTTTACTTTTCACTTAAGATTTGCTTCTTTTATACTGCTTAGTGAGGCAAAGCACCTCAGATGAAAAATTTTATCAGGGTATTGGTTTGGACTTCCTTTTTCACAGTCGATACAAGCAATGTATGCACATATGTGAGTGCACATTTGATAAATACAGGAGCAGTTTTACAGGGTTGGCTCCATTAGAACAGTTGATGACATGAGCTAAAATGACCAGGAATTAACATCCAGAAGTGGATGTAAAATTATCAGACTTCAAGAAACTCCGGAGAAATCCTGTCCTATAAAACACTGGTGCATTGTTCAAAAAAAGGCATCTCTTTTCTCACCACCCTTCATTCTTCACCCCACCCCCTTCTCTCTCTCATTTGAAACTCAAATTTACCTCTGTTCAATTCCTGCTCTGTTGCCCACAGCATCTTTTATTTTCAGAGCAGCTTGGCAATGCAGATTTTGAGACTAAGACCTAGAAAGACACACCTTGTTATAATAATGTAATCGGGCTGCGGCTAACTGGACCCTGCTCAGAGCCTGCTCAGGATGCTCAGCAGCAAAAAGAAATAAAATTTTAAAAGGTATTTCTGGTTGGGTTAGCTTTATGCCAGCTCCACTCATTGAGGCAATTCTCTGCACAGTCAGGTGAGAAATGGAGTGGAAAGAGAGACCTTGGAGGAAAGTTTGTTAATGTTGATATATATATATATACACATATATATACACATATATACACATATATATATAAATTATATATTTGTCCTGGTTCTTGCTCAAGGTGTTGACCTGAACATGCTGTTTAACAACAGTTCTCCACTTAGTCCTATCCCAGCAAAGACCCATGGGGTTCTGTATTTTAAAGCTCATTTAATTCAGGTCTTCTCTAAGCAGGACTACTTTGATGGAGCTGGGGAAGTGATGACACAAATAGTTATGCTGGCAGATAAGTAGACATGGCAACCTCTGGATGGGAGCCATGATCAGCAGATGTGGACAAGCCCCTTGCACCTCTTCACAGAGCTTGGCTACAGCCAAAACAGGAGGCACAGCCTAGGGCTTCAGTCACCATCTCACTAGGTCGAAGGAAGGGGCACAGGGAATCAGTCAGGAGCAAATTAAAACTATTCTCAATGTCTGCTCATAAAACCAATGGGAGATTTATTTTTTTTTTCTGAGATTTGAAAAGATTTGGCTAATCTTCCACCATTCTGTTATTTCTATTGTCAATCTAGTGCCTGGTTTAATTCCCATCCCAGACAAAAGCAGAAATACCAGGATACCACAAGTAGCTGCTGGTCTGCGTAGCTTTTCAGGCCAGGTAGAAGCAGAAGTAGAGGGGATTTCTCATGAATTTTCCACTCCATTTCTAAAAGTGTGTCTGTACAGTTGTGTGAGCGTCTGAGCCTCGGATGCTGTAAGGCATGAGCAATAGCAGTGTTTCAGGCTGTGATTTGGCTGCAACATCTCAGATGCCTCGGATGCCACGAGCTCTTGAGGGACAGAGCCTCTGTGCATTGCTCCAGGTCTGACAGCATTTACTGGAAAGAGAAGGTAAAGCAAAGGGGGAACACCCTGTGTGACTGAGAGCAAGGCAGGACGGAGCGAGGCTAAACGATGCTGCAGGACAGCAATTCCCAGCCATTGTAGCAGCCCTCAGGAGAGCTGCTACGAACTCCAATAGTTTGTAACAGCCCTAAGGGATGAGGGCCAGAGCGAGGGAGGTATCAGCCAGCTTTGTCCCCCTCACAGGGCTGAAGCTCAGCATGACTTGGAAAGCAGAGGATTTATATTTTCTCTCTGGGAAATGGGGATGTAAGGATGCCAGCTGATTAGGGCTCCTCTGATGGGAAGTGCAAAATGAAAGGATCGCATAACCCCGCTATCTGCTTGCCCTTAATCCAGTGATAGCTTCTGCTCCTTCTTCTGCCCCTCCTGGACAGAGCTCTCACTTTTACAGGGCACTGGCAATGTGGCAGCATCTTCATGCAGAGCTGGAGCAGCAGAAGGGGCTCTCACTGCTGCCAGAGGAGCCCATAGCCCCCAGGCCACTGTTGAGGGGCTTCCCATGGCCCACCTAGGCCCACAGGCACCAGGGACGTCTCTTTGATGCAAAGCCCCTTTGGCCCCGTGCTGCCGGGGGGGAGGCAGCCTCCCTGCTCTTTGCATTTCAATCGCCTGCATCTAAATCCAATCGTCGGGGCGAATCTTATCGTGACTTATCGTAAAGAAGCCCTCTCTGCCCCGTAATTACAGGGGCCAAACGGAGCGGGTCCTTAAACGCTTTGTGAGTCAGCTGATGGGGACGTGGCCTCGGGTACCAAACCCCCCAGCAACGCAGGCCATCGTCATTAGCTAACCTCCTTCAGGGGCCGTATGTGGCAAGCGCTGGAATTCGCCACTTTTCTTCGTCAGCTTTTGACAACTACTTGCTTGATATAATTACTTTCGGTGTTATTTAAGGCTCTGACTAATCGCACGGCAATGGCCAGGTTTATAATGCAACAGTGTGTAGCCTGGAGCAAATTCTGACATAATTACACTGTATAAATTCCCCCATTAGAAACGACACTGCATTGGCATTGTGTACAAAGCAGCCATGGTCCAGTCAACTGGCTCTGTGAAAATCTGTCTGACAATTGTTTACCCTGTTGGTATCTTATTGACACTTTGCACAATGATGAAACTGTTACATGACAGGGGATGGGAGCCAGAGGCTGGGCCCAGGCTCTCGTCTCCTCTCTCTCTCTCTTCAAGTGTGGTCGTTTCCTTGCCTGGTTTTCTCTGGATGAAGCCTTGTTCGTTTCTGATGGCTCTGAAACAGAAAGGAAAACCTACAATTGTGGCACAAATCCCAACAACCCATAGAAATCCTGCTTGGGGTTGCACTGCCTGCCCCAAGGAGCGACTGCTCCCCAGGCCCTTCCCCTGCAGGGTACTTACAAGGATTTCAGTCTCCCTCTGGTCTCGGACACCTGAGAGCATTTGAAGTGTTGGGAATGGGATCTAGGGCCTTTCCAGATCTTTAATTTCAAGCTGGCTCTGGAAATCTCCAACACAGGCAGATGTAGAGAAGCCAAAAATAGAGTTTTATGGCTTATAGCTGAAGAATTGGAAGAAGCTGCACACCTGTGTCCCTGTTGATGGAGGATTGTTTTATCACACTATGTAGACTATAGCAGTTGATTTATGAAATCCCAAAGGACTGAGCTTCCTCATTTCCCAATGGAATAGACTATACTTTAAAGGAGCTATTGTCATGTCCATTTGGAAACCACTGGGGGTTTTGTACAGAATAAGTAACTCTGGAAGCACTCGTCCATTTTCACTAAGAGCCAAACCCATTAACCACCCCTCAAAACCTGGAGCAATAACCCATGTCTTTTTTGTTTGTTTTCAGTGTCACCAGGAAAGCCGTGACCTCAAGCCACACAGGCTCCTTCCTGTGCAGTAAGTAATGCCCCTAAGAAAGAGAAGTTTTCCGAGGGTCCTCAGAGGCTGGAGCAAAGTCCTGAGCTGCTGCCACATGTATGGGAACAGCAGTGAGGCCCCTGTGTGTGCTCCCAAACCCCAGCGTCCCCGAACTGAGCGGGTCCCTATGGGAACACAGTGTTTTTCCCAGTCCCACCAGCAGCACAGTGGGACCCAAGCAGCTCCCCCTCCCAGGGCTGCACAGTCCTTTTCGGGGCGAGGAGCAGCACAGAAGAAGTGAACGCTGCCATGGCACACCAAGCTGTGGCTGAAGGAGTATTCGGATACCCTGGGCTGCCAATTCAGAACTTTCCTAAAACCAGCAGTAAAATTCGCCTCCGATTCCTTTTTAGGAAAAGAAGGCTGTAGTATAAAGTCCCATTTTCTAGGCATTAAAAGTTTACAGTCTGCACCATTAAAAGCAGCATTCTGTGTCAAACTTTAATGTTTGGTCTTCAGGAACAGCTATGAGGTAAAGAGAAGGTTCCCTGTTTGTTCTACAAAACAGGAAAGTGCTTGCTTTCTATACTGTAAATATGCATTAGGGAAGCTCTTATAGGCTCGTGCTGGGGATTTGATGTTTTTAACTGACTACATTCCTTACATTTTTGTATAACTGCCAAGAAAGCTAAATAAAATGGCTTTTTTAGTGTTTTCTCTAAGAATAGCCCTGCTTCTTTGTAAATATAGCAAAGGAATTGTTGATAATAATTCTTTGGGAGAATAACTGGTGTTATTGATGTTACAAGTAGAAAGATTGCTGTTTCTCTGTCTCAGAAACACAGCTAACCAAGTGGGCTGGGACTTCAGAAAGCCTGAGCATTCCTTAGCCAGTTACTGAGATTAGACTGGTTTAATTCCTGTGCCAGAAGGTGTAGAAATCAGAGAGAGAAGACTGGCACTGAAGTTAAAAAAAAAAAAAAAAAAAAAAAAAAAGATTTGCATTTTCTTTCATAATGCAAAATTGAACTTTATTCCTCCTTGTTTGCATTTCTCAGTTTGCAGATAGTTCTGCCTTCTGCCAACTTGCCCAGAAAAGCTGAGGGTTAATCAGCTCAGCCTGACTCAAATATGCACAATCAATACCTGGGCACCCCGAAACTTCTGTGGTATTAGGTCTGATCCCATCCTACTGAGACACTAGAAGGCCAAGGCAGTTCTTCTCATCTAGAGGTTGATAGATTGCGCCAAATTTAGACCACTGACCCCTAGATGTTGCTGGTTTGAAGCCCTCCATGTGCCAAGCCCTTAGAAGGTCTTTGTAAAGCCATATGATGACGAGCTGTAAAATCAGGATTGTGGCATGAGAACTTGAACCAGCCTATGCCATGCTTACTGCAGCCATCCAGGATTGCCAGAAGGTGAAAGTCTCAAAACCCACTTGTATGTCATGTCTAGGAAACAAAAAGGCTAAAAATATTTTTTTAGTGTTGATTGAAAGCATCCATCTTTCTTACAGCCGAGGGAACCTCTCACAAAGGTGCCCTGTCACCAACCAGACCTGCACTTCAGACAAGCGTGCAGAGATTTGGTGCTTGTTCAAGCGGGCCTCATCAGGGCTGGTAGCCCTTGTTAGGATTATTTTTCAAAACAGAGACTCAGCGGGGCCAGGCTGCGGTATATGCTGCCCAGCTTCTGTCTTCTGTTTGCTCCAGCGCTTCCTCCTCCTTGTTTCCCCAGCCACTCCCTGTCTCTGCTGGAAAAGGCAGTAAATGGTTGCTCCTGGTTCACCTTTGCAGCGTCACTCAGCATTTATAGATCTCTGTTATATTCTCTCAGTTGTTTTCTTCCCGTCCTGAAGTGTCACAGTCTCTAATCGTGTTCCTCGTAGAGATATAGTAGGTAGAAATAGGATCATGTTGGGAAAAGATCAGTCGTGTCATGCTTTTTTCTTTCTCTGTTGTCAGTTTGGTTGCACGGTCTCCTTGTCAGTAAGAGTTCCTCTGTGCCAGATGGTGTTTGTGGCCATGCATCTTGGCATCTTCTGAGCCAAAGAAATTGTTCTGTGTTTCACCTTCAAGCCTGTGCGCGTACCAAAGCTTTGACAAGGTTTTCTGCTCAAAGTTCTTGTTATCTAGAATGGCAGTAAGACTCAGGGAGGCCGAAAGGGAAATGTGCCTCATCATCTGTGTGAGCAACTTGGGAATGTGAGGTGAAGAAGGGTGGAAGGCAGAGTTCCTACCCAGGAAGAGTTTTCAAGATCTAAAAAAAATCAAAACAGCCTCCAGTGCTCCCCTTATCTATCAACTAAAATAAAATCGGGTTCTTTTTATCGAGATGGAGAGATGCCACGCTGACTGATTGCAGTATTCGTGAGGTTATCTGTGGTTTAGGGAATCCAGATTTAGATGCTTCACCTGTCATCTTCAGTATGCGTCTGGGCTGTTGGCTGCTCTGCTTGTATTCCTGGATCTCTTGTTGTCACTATTAGCTCTGAATTCAGGTTGAATCTCACACAGGTTGGACATTGTTCAGGTCCAAATACCAGCCAACTTATCAGAGAGGAGCCAGGCTGACAGAACTTCAACCCGGAATGAGGACCAAATGATGAGAATTGCTTGTCCTGTGAGGTTTCTGTCATTCAAAGCCAAATCCACATGCTAAACCTGGTTTGTCTATTCCTTTCACTGCTCGTTGGAAAAGTCTGAGTACTCTGATAAAGAGTGTGTGGAGTACAGTGAGAAAAGAACAGGTTAAATGTTGCATGTCTGCTCAAATCACGGCTGGGGGAGAACACAAGAGCAGAAGTGTCAGGGATTCAAATTCTGTGACTTGTGCAAAGCTGGAGAACAGGCCCCAAGAGATCTTGTTCTTCCTATGGGATTACCATGTGCCTAAGACGTGATGTCTTAGGGGATGTGAGGACTGTTCCTGGGGTGGGTGCTGGGAGCACAGTGTGAGAGCATGCAATGCCGTGCAGAAACACAGCTTAAGGTCAGACTCAGCTCTAAAGCTTCCCCAGAATCCCAAATCCTCTTTTTATATGAGTTTCACTCAAACACAAACAATTAAAGAATTTCATCTTCTCCTACTACGGTGGAAAAGCCTGGATGCTTCTCTAAACTTTATTAAATAGCTCCAGAGAGTGCCCTTGATGAGGGTCCTGCTTGGCTTCTGACAACCCATATCTTTGTCTTTGGTGCAAATAAATCGGTCACCGATGCCAGTTGGCAGCAGGGAAGAGAAATAACACAGCCTGTTGAAAAGAAGAGGGAAAAAAAAAAAAAAAAGGCAGCTCTAAGCCTCGTGTCTGCTTGTATGACCAGAGACATTTGACAAAGACCCCGGTCAATGGCAGCTTTTCAGAGATGTCTGCGTGGGCTATTGCACATCCCTGCTATCTGCCTCCACTTACGTTTCCTCTCCAAAGGACGACCCCCGTTCCAGCTTTCGAGCTTAATCGCCATGCGTTCTGATGCCTGCCTGGAGCACAGGAGATGCATTTTGTAGTTTTAATTTTGGAATTCACCCCGCTAGTGGCAGCGGTCTGGTGGGCCAGGGGGGAACCTTCCCCTGGGCCGGATCTCTCTGGAGGCCAGCGGCTCTCTCATCGCCAGGGGTTTGTCAGAGCGTGCAGTATGCTAACATCCTGCCAGCTCACCTTTCGTAAGCTGAGTCGAAAGCATTATTCCCACCAGTGCAAACAAGGCGTCTGCCACATGTCTGCTGGTTTCTCCCTGGTGCGCTGAGGCAAAGCAGCCCTTCCTTGTCAGTCATTGACCAAAGCTGTTGACTCTGGAACGGCTGACTGTGCTGGTTGTAAAGGGATGCCAAAACCTCCTGAAAGCTGGGAGGCAAAGGTGTTTTCTTTTTAAATGAACTAAGCTGTAGAAGGAATTTCCCTGAGAGCTTGTTTGATATCTGGAATAGAAATGGCTTTCCTTCTCCATCTCCACCTCCTCAATGCTCAGTCGCACCCAGAGAGCCTTCAGACACATCTCTCCTCTCCAGGCTGCCCTGAATCGGAGCACCTCTGCGTTTTGTTGACAGCTGACAAATACTCCAGGTGAGCCTGTCTCGAATGTGCTTGCTGGGTTATTGTAATGGCCTTAGTTTAGCCTAGGCAGAACATGGCAGTCGTGGAGCTCATTTTTGTTGTATTCAGGCATTTCCGACAGGGCTGAGCTGGAGGAGGAGCTTTGGTCCAGTTGGGTTTAAACCACAGCCAGTTTGAGTTGTCCATTAACGCTCAGGTGTGGTACCCCCCGTGTTACAAACGTGCTCTGTGCTTCCACAAGGAGCCACCCTGCTCAGCTCATCAGGAAGCTTTCCCCTTCCCCTTCTGACCCTGCAGTGTGAGAGGCATTGTGCAGATGGACACACAGCAGAGCAACCCCACAGTACAAGTGGCTTTTAAAAGCAAGCCTTGTTGAGAGGAGTGGTAAAGCAGCCCTGCCTAAAGACACAGACAGCACCTGGTGGCACCAATAACGCGCTGGAGCTGTGAGCCTAATGCCCTTTGGCTCCCACAGGAAACAGGACCTCGACCAGCATCCGTAAATAAATATCCCCCTGCGCCTTTATACACTTAAATACCTTTCCAAACCTGGCTCCTTGCCTGTTTCCCGTACTCTGCTGTGGCTCCTTTACTTCTGCACAGCAGCGGGAGCAAGGAGCTCGGCTGTACAGAGGTTGTGTTGTGCTAAGTGCTGTGCAGGCACCGAACAAAAGCCCTCCGACCACTTCCCAGCACCTAGCTGCTGCTGTTTTAAAAGCAACCCTCCCTGGCTCTTTTCTTTTGTCTTTTATTCACTGTTTTCTTGCTTCCTTTATACACCTAAATAAAATCCTAGCCTTCCAGCTAGAATACCATTGCGGTGCTCCTGTGTGAGCCGGGCCGTGCTGGTCACACAGCAAGGAAGATTTACCTGTGCCCAACCTATCTGCAAGCGGTAAGTGTGGCTGGGCTGAAGCTGTGATGCTTGAAACGAGGGTGCTAGGGGTAATGCAGAGCCACAGACGTAGCGTGTCAGGGTTCCCACTGGGACTGGGGAACGTCAACACCACTGGGGAATAGAAAATGCAAGAGTTTAGCCCATGGAGAACCGAGCAGATGCAAACATGTGACACAACCAAAAAGCTGTGCTCCGAGAGAGGCAAATCTACCCCAGCTGTGCCTGGTGCGGGTGGGTTGTGCTACTCCCCTGCCTCGGCTGTTTGTTTGACAGCAGCTACCACAATGGGATTGTGTCCAGGTTTGTGTCAAGGAGCTTCGTTACTTGCATCTTGAAGCTTATCTAGGTAAAAATGGTTGTATTAACAATCAGCTGACCTTGGGTTCGAGCTCTGAGTAGCAATTTCAATCCGTCCCCGAGTTACATAAATCTAAGCCACCATATTTTAAAGAAAAAGGTCTTGAGCTGGTGTTGCTTGTGAAATCCCAAGAGGAGAAGTGTGTTTTCTAGGTGCTCTGGTGCATTTCAGGTTCATTTTGGGGCTCGGCACTTCATGGCAGCTGGTTCTCTGATTATTTTATATTAAGGACCAACTTCCAGTAACATCAGTGGGAGCAGGATTTTAGCTCTAAAGCTATTATTAACTAATACAGCACAACAATGCCTGGCTTTCGTTCTGTTTTGTTTTCTCCCAGGGTCGGAACGTGTGTGTATCCCATTAACTCTGTCCTCGCTGCTCTCAAGATGTTCCGCACAAATGATTTTATTTTTTTTGTAAGAAAATATATTTTACTAGGCAGTTTTATGAGAGCTGACAAAATGCCTCGTAAATAACCCAGCAGGAAATATGGGGTAAATAAAATTTTTTACAACTTTATCATAAACCTGAGAAGTCTTTGGTTCCTTTTCGAATGGAATGAGCAAGGTATTTCATTAAAGGAAAAGACATGCTCTCTAAAGCCCAACAATTACAGACACAATGCCTTTTTAACCTGCAATTCAGTCAAACAGGTTTGGTGGCAGTGGAAAATGTAAAAGGCCCTGTTTTGACACTTTGGGTCATGCTCCCCACAGATAAACTTGTGCTGTGGGTTCCCTGCACGGCAAATCTGGAGAACTGGTGTGCGCCTGACCTGCCCTGCATTACCCAGGACCTCCAAGGAACCACATATCTGGGGGAACATGCCCGGGACGGGCTGCGGTTTCGTGTTGCCTTTGTAAAACTCCTAGCACGGGGGGCTGTGGTTGGGCCCCTGAGTGCAAGGGGAATGCAAACAAATATGGTCCTCAGGTCTTCAGCACAGGCCTGAAATGTGATGATTTGGTCAAAGACCAAGCGTCTGAAATAGAAACGCTTGGAACAAGCCTCAGGGCCTTGAACTTTGCGTGAAGGGGGAATTCAGCTCTCAGCATGCGAGGATCTTTGACGTGTGATATTTTGGTACTGTGGGAAGATGGGAGGGGGTGTCTCTTTTAAGTCCCTAGCACTGGTATAAATTCATATTGATATCCATGGCTATTTTCTACATAATGGTGAAAATAAATCTGGCAAAACACAACCTGTTCCTGGCTGCACAAGAGGTATGGAAACCACCTTCAAAAGGGATAAAATGCCATTGTATGCCTACTTGATCTGATGAACTACAAGAAAATAATCTGGAGTGAAGGTCTTCGCCATTTCTAACACCTCTGGTTCTCCTTGGATCCACCCTCCTTGCAACTCTGGGTTGGCTGAAATGGAGAAAGGCCCAGTGGTGGGAAGGCTGAGCTTCACGGAGCTGCAACGTTCAGGTATGCACGTTATCGTCCCTGCACTGGGAACAGGGCTCCCCAGCTCATCAGGGGAAGACTGGAGCGGGCTCCACCACCACGGTGTCACCTTGCTGGCACCACAGGTTGTACTGCACAGCAATGGCCCCCACCTCTCCTCCAGGGCATTGTTGCATAAAGCCCCACCACCTTCCCCTCCAGGCACTGTTGCATTCCCCTGCCCTGGCTCCCATCCCTCCAGGCTACGGAGCCCTTCTCCACCCAGCAGATCACACAGGTCCTTAGGACATCTCCAGCAACTTCCTAGGGGAACGTTACATCAGGGAAATATTTAAAGCTTTTGTAGCTCTAATGCCTTGTAAATAGGAGGTAAGCCCACCCCACCCCACCATTTCTGAGCACTTTTGATGTTGGTTTCTTCTGCACTTTGGGAATGGGGCACCTTTGGGAGAGCTGGGTCCCTGCCCCAACAGGTCTGCAGTCCCACAGCCTGATCCCACACCAGCACTCGGAGCCCCAGCTGACATTGAAGCCAAGTCAGGGTGTCCCTGGGAGCTTTGCTTGTATAAGGGCTCCAGCCTCTGGTACATTGTCTGGAAAGCGCTGAGTAAATAGGAGAGACAATTATTGTCGCCCTTTCCCGAAAGGAAATTCCATATTGGCACCAACCGGTGCGCTGTATGGCAGAGCACAGCCCTGACGGAGCAGGCTTCCCCAGCAGCAACTGACAGCATGTGGAGGGAAATTGGCTTTTCAGTGGGACATGTGCTTCAGTGAAAGCCCATATGTTAGGGAATTATCTGTTGTGAGTCCCCCAGCATTATCCCCATGCCTCTGTCACCGCCCCTCTGCCCTCCCCTCAAGCCCCCACCCCGACGCAGAGGTTAAATAAAATATCATTTCCTCCTGATTTAGCCTTTGTCTTTGGCAATCAAAATGCCCTTCAGGCCCCTGTGGAGTCAACCTTCCAGGTCAGGGTAGGACATGGGAAACCCCTTCCCAGGCATTTCTCTGCAGATAATGTCATGGCTGATTCATGAGATCATTCAAAGTGCTGCCTTCCGCCACGGCTGCTTCTTTTGGTGCTGATGCTTCTTGGCTTGGGTTCCCTCTCCTTTTCCCTCCCTGTGACAACACCTCTCCTGCTGGCTGGGTTTTACAAACTGGTTCCTGTGCAGCTGGGAGAGATAGGAGGTGTGCTCAGAAGGAGGAGAGGAATAAAGGGGGGTAGGTCGGCTGCAGCAAGGCTCTGTACAGGGCAGGAACAGACTGGGAGCCAGCAAACCTTGCTCCATGAAGGGACAAGGAAGGGGGGAAATGTGTATACTTGCCTACATCAGCTGTGTGTCATTCCTCAGCTTCAGGGTGCAATACCAAATGAAGGCATAGATTTGTATTTATTATACTTCCTCTGATTTCCTGCTTGGCATCTCCCTGGAGAGTCCCGCTAACATTAACAGCCCAATAGAGATCATGCTAGTAAAAGCACCAGTGGTGGAAAGGGAAGACCTATAAAGGTCAATATATTCCCTTTCTTTTAGTATGGCCTGCCGTTATTTTAACCTCCCCTTGTGCAGTTTTACATACTTAGGCTGAAAGCGTAACGAGGCAGCAGGGAGATGTGCAACACAGGTAAAATGAGGGGTGGGTGGGGGTGTTTTTGTCATTTGTGGGGACTTCAAGGTCAGTAGGGTGAATGCAGAAGGTATCTCCAGGGTCAGTATCCATCCTACAGATGCTGAGCTGGCTGGGTTTGTCCATTTAAGTGTACAAATGTGTGTGTGTGACGGGACACGCTGCTGTTCAGCGCCATGCAGGGATACATCTTGGGAGAAAATCATGCTGGTGCAAACTGAGAGTTGCCAGCCGTCATCCCCCAAGCAGTGTTTGTTGGCATGGCTCAGTTACTGAGCTAACTGCCAGGCCTGTCCTAGGACTTGGCGCTGAGCATCCCCTCGCTGCCTGCTCTCTGCAGGAGACGTGGTAGGGAGGCAGGAAAAAGACAGGCACTGAGTAAAGGACAAGGTACGGGTTGTGTATGTGCATCTACCTTACCACGGGGTGATCCATGGGCCAAAGCACCCTGTATCTGTGGTGGATAGAGCTTGTAGGGAGTCAGCGCACAGGAATTTGGGCATTAAGGCTGTTCCCTGTGTTCCCTTGCAGAAACAGAGCCTTATTTTAAAATGTAAAAATTTTTTATTCTCTAGTCAACAGCCTGCTAACTAAGTACCTAAAGCTTTTCAAAAAAACAAGGCTCAAAAATCAGAGGGAGACAGCCCAAGTGGCGGAAGGGAGGGGAAAGCGCCTGAGAGCCGGGAATGGAGGACAAATGGCCCCCGCCCAGCGATGGTCCCAGCCCCCCATTCGCACCCAGCTAACATCCCTCCCTTTGGTAAACAGAGACAGGCAGGTTGGCACCTTGTCTCCTGCCACAAAGGCGCTGGCCCTTTGTTTCCCTGCGTGACTCCCTGGCAGATGGGGGCTGGAGGGTGCCTGAGGGGTCTGGTTCCAGGAAAGCCTCCAGTATGCAAAGCGTGCCCACAGGCAGGCAGGCAGGAGACTGATGGAGTTCCCCCTGCGAAAGAGCAGGGCGAAATAGTTTCTATCTCTTCTGACGGCTTTTTTTTTTTTTTTTTTTTTTTTTTTTTTTTGACTTTGAGAAAACATAATTACTCTGTAGTTTTCCTAACTGAGCCTCCTGTTTGTATAGGAACTGAGAGGGAAACCTGGGATTTGGAGCCAAACTTTTATTTCTGGAGTGGTAGAAAGCCAAAATCCCGATGGCAGGAATGTGTGCATATCTGAAATACTTACAACCCTTGCGCAAACTTTCTTAAAAGGTTAGAATTTGGCTCAGGAGTCAGTGAAATGCAAGTTTTACAGACTCCTAATGCATGCCGATCCCTGCTTCCAGCCCCAAGGGATTTGTTGGGTGTTACTCTGTGTCTTTGGGGGGAGTGGGGGAGTGTTGACCATGGCAGACAAAGAGGAAATAACCTAGCTAAGGCCACAAGAGTCAATGAAAAGGCCGTAGTTAGCTGGTCAGACTATCTATCATCCACTGGGGTGTTTTAGCAGGGCCACTGCACCATGTATGCAGCCTAACCTTGGTGCAAGTGCTGCCTCCAGCCTCCTACACCACAAAAAGCCAGGCAGTTTCTCTCTTCCATCATCCCCCGCTGTTTTACTGTATCAGCCCAGCTTAGCTCAGGCAATTAAATCACTGAAAATATTCACATTGATTTCTGCCGGGAAGGTGTCAGGTGCTGCGTGGGGAGGTTCGTGGCAGATTTCCACACCCAGCTCAGATGTGTTCTTGTGGATGGGGTGTCTCTGCGCTGAAACCTGCCTCAGCCAACGGAGACCTGTCACGCTGGCGTGGAGGTCTCTGGCCAGCTGCTAACAGGAAGATGCCCATGCTGCTGTTGGCATGATTTGTCCCCTTGTTTCATTATTTTCCTTCCCTACTCTGACCTATTATTAACGGACCCACCTTCTACCTAGTGTTTCTGTTTCCCCTGATATATTTGTAAAGGCCTCTTATTCTCCTTAATCCCTTTGGCTATAATTAACTCATTCTGCATTTTTGCTGCCCTTATCTTTTCCCTGCAAGCCTTAACTGACTGAATATTCTTGTTTGGTTGCCTCCCTGTTTTCCATTTCCACTAAAGGTTTTCTTCTTAATCCTTAGATCTCTGAGTGGGCTTTGCACACTCTTATTTCTTGCATGTTTCTTCTTTATTTACTCTTCTTTTTCTCTCTCACTTTAGTTTTTGCGCCGTGTAAGAATCCCATCTTCCATACACCCAGATAGATTTCAGGACGGTCTCATGTGGCACGTTACTTGCTCTATTTCTTAATTCCTCTCAATGTATTCGCCTTTTTCCTTTGGCACTACACCATTCTTTTGCAATATTGAATTTGTCCTTCTCACTCTGGAGATTCCCACATTCTCAAGCAGTTCCCTTCTTTCACCCAACACCTTTTGTTCTACAGGAAATGTGGAAAGTAAAAATTACGTCTCGTTTTATTTTGTGTAAGGTTTATTTTTGACCCAGTAGTGCCCCAAAATTACTAGGACTGAACGTGGGCTCTGCTCTATAAGGAAGGT